TGGAGGAAAGTTCTGACGCTTCTGTATTCTCAGTGAACCCAGAACACAGTCGTCTGCTGAGAATGAGAGGGGGCAAGCTATGACGCCGGAACAAAGGTCAGGTGGAAAGTTGTCCTCAGACTCAGGACTCATCTCTCTTTTTATTCAGCGTTGTGCACCTTATTTGTAGAACCTCAGTATCTCTTTTTTACACAGCACACCTTTTTAATACAGTGGTATCATTTTCACTCAATGCATTATACAGTAGGGTAATGTCATGCTGTTATTTATTACAGTACTACATGTGAGAGTCATGCAGATAAGAGCAGAGTCATCAAATTGACATTTCCATTGACTATTTTTTGTTCTGAATACTGCAATGTGCATACTACTTACAATTCCTCATTTAAAAACCAATTCATCTGACAATCTCGGTACAGAAATGCCACTTGGTCATAAAAGCAGGAATGCCTGTATTCCCTACTTGGCTGTGTAACCTCAGCAAGCTTGGCAGTCAGCAGAGCTTTGTAAAACTAGGCAAGACAGGCATAGCCTACATTCCCTTGCTATAACTGAACAGCCCAGAAGGGGTGATTTACAAAGAACAAGGGCTTATTCCCCTCACAGTTCCGGAGATCCAAGACCAAGGTGCTGCATCTGGAAAAGGCTTAAGTGGTAGGGAGTCTGCAGAGTCCCAAGACAGCACATGACTTAAAAAGAAGGCATGACTTAAAAAGAAGGGTGCTTTCTTGGGCACCTTCTCATCACTGAGACACAATATCTGACACCAGGAACAAAGGAGGAGCGGTTCACCTTGCTCACAGTTTTAGGAGGTTTGCATCCATGCTCTGCAGGCACGGTGCAGAAACTGCATGGTGGAAGGGCTGGCTTCAGGGGAAAGCTGCTCACCTCCTGGCAACCAGGAAGCAGATCTGAGAGACAAGCAGGGCAGAGATAAATCCTTCCGGGTTAGGCCGCCAGGGACCCGCCCCTTCCTCCCTGCCCCACCTCCTAACAGGAAGTCAGCCACAGCACCCTGTGAGCCAATCAGCTTCCAAAAGCCCCACCTCAGAGTGCCTGAGTGATTTAGAGGGTCGTGCTTGAGCTGAACCATAAGAGACAGTCAAGCCGGCTTTTGCAACTGTGGGCACCTGGTAACACCCAACTGAACTCAGTCATCATGGTGCTGGGTGTGGAAGGCCCACTTGAGCATTGTTGTCAACAGCATAAGAGAAGAACCTGAGGGTAAGAGGGTGTGCTGTGATCCCCCTGAAGCAGTTTGTCACACTGGTTTTCCTGATAGGAACTCAGCTGTTCACACTGTGGGAAGAGCTTGGGAATCTGCTGTCAGTGAGGATGGCTGCAGTTCTCTTCAGTGGAGCTCTAGAGGGTCCTGACCTTGAGTGTCACCTCCTGGCTCCAGGGCAGATCCCTCAGCTGCTGGCACAGACCCTTCCCCCTGCTGGTGCAGACCTTCTAGCTTCCACCACTGACCTTTGGGCCTTCCCAGTGCAGACCCTTGACACAGACTTGCATGAGGCACTGCCATGGGCTCTAGGGCTCCAGTTGACTTCGGGGGATATTGCTGTGGGATCCAGGTGCTTGGCTGGATTCTTTGGGTCTCTAGTGTGTGGACAGACCTCCCACACTTTTTTTAAACTTTTACTTTTTTATTTTGAAGAGATTAAAACAAAACAGCAAACAAATCAAGCCAATGAGAATGATACTGAATTGCAAAAACAAGATTAGGAAATAAACAACAGTCACTATGTTGCACAGTGTTTTCCTCCACATAGTTGCTCGGACTACCAGACACAGGCATGCAACATTAATCAAACAACATAAGCACCAAGTAGTTTCTTTACTTCAGTTGCTATCATTTCGGAAATGTCGGGTGTGTGTCTTCTAATCTTTTTTGTGTCTGTGTGTCCTGGACTTGTTCTGGGTCTGCTGGGGGTCTGAGACTGTACCTGCTCCTTAGTCCTACACTTTCCTGTACTCCTCCGAATCAGCTGGTCGCTGAGTCCCCATCGTTTCCTGCAACGGCTGCCTGTCCTGCAGTGCAGGGGATTGGGCTACCTGCCTGGGTCCCTTCCATCCAAAGTTCCTGGGGTGGAAGAGGGGTGCGGGGTGTGGTTTCTCCTGTTGAACTGGGAATATGGTAATCCAAATATTGTAATCCCTTTCTTAGTCTTCCTCACCATCCAAAAAGTTATGCTTGTCACCCCATTGAAACGTTATTGGAATCCCAGCAAATTAATTCCAACCCACCACCTCCAGTGCAACCCACAGTGAGTGTAAAACCAAAGGTAAGGGCAACCAAGGGGTCCTAAATCCAATATTGATGAAGATACGAAGACCAAGGCCTGATCCAAGGCCTCTCCCAGAACTTATTATCTTGTGAAAAAGGGGTGGCCTGAGGATGAGTGACAGTGAGGACTAGGACGGCTGGAACTGCCATGTGAGTAACCCAGCTAGCTAGCTAGGTGGGTAGAAAACCTCTTTGCAAAATGCAGGGAGACTGACTGCAGAAGGCCCAGTCTGCTAATTCAATGAAGGTAGCAACTGAATGGTTTTGGAGGCTGTTGCTTCAGTTTCTGATATGTAAACGTTTGTGCCCTAGGGACTCATGGCCTCTGTACTTTGAGGCTCTAGCCAGGTGACATTCCTGGAGCTGACTGGCTCTGCCATCCTGCTGTGCTTATCTGTTATAGAGAGAGCACTGTGCCAGGAAACGGGAGATGTTTAGAGAGGACAGTACCAGGACCTGGCTAGCCTTATTACAATGCTTAGAGCCACTGGAAGAGAGAAGCAAACTCCATCTCAATAGATGGAAATAAGCCTCAGTACAATCAGTGTGGCAGCAGCTGTCCTGCATTCAAGGGGAGTCCCTCACACTGTCTCCTACTTCTCCTCCAGGCCCCAAGTGGCAGGCTCACGGCAGGGGCGGGGCAGGGTTGGCTTCTTCCTGCCTCAGTCCTGTGCATTTGACATTTGGGTGAATATTATAAAATAATCCTACAAATTGTGTTGCATATTGAATCTTTTCCCTACTGTACCTGGAGTAGGCAGCGTGAGGGAGAACCTGCCCGCCATGGTCTGTGCCCCATCTCCACTCTGCACAGGCCTGTGAGGGCTGCAGACTTCTCAGGCACCTGTTTCAGACTTAAATGCTTTTTCACTGTTTATACTTTAAATCACCACACAAAGGTAAAACTGACTGAATGCCACTGTGTGCCTGTAATTCCTGTCTCCCTAACCACAGTGCAGGCGTGACAATAGTCGCTGCATTCTTCATTTCCCGCAGAGCCCATAGGAGTGGCAGGCCTTCCTCACACATGGTGGACAAGGAGGGGTGTCGGGGTGTCAGTCAGCAGCCAGAGCTCCGGGTTAGGTGTGTCTACTGAAGGCATCAGCCACCCTGCCTGTCTTAGTCACTTTGCTTGTCACTGGGATGCAATAAGTAGCACCCACAGTTTAGCAGAGGAGAGGGTTAGCTGGACTCCCACCTTCCTGCAGCTGGCAGGCTCCAAGGCAGGACAGCAAGAAGAGGGGCCTGGTGGAGGAGAGCTGTGCACAGCCAGGGACAGGAAGCAGAGAAGAAAGGAGGGACTGGGGGGAAGAGTTTAGCCCCAGGCTACGCCCACGGTGCCCACCTCTTCTGACCAGGCCCCTACCTAACAGCAGGTCAGCTAGGAGCCCCAGAATCCAGGCCCTTCCACAGCTCCCCCTATGAGCGCAGGAGCATTTCTGTTCCCTCTGCCTTCACCCCAATCTAGGTCTTCAGGCGCCAGAGAGCACAGAAGAGACCCGTACCCCGGAGGCACAGGGGTGTCTTCATTTCTGACTTGGCCCTTGTTATTTCTCTGCGCTTTCTCTCCACTGGCCTTGTCCTGGCCTTCCTGTGGAAACATCTCCGTTTATGAACTTCACTCTTTTGTGATTCTGGGCGAACCTGGCTGCCTGTGTGTTTGTGCAGGGAACACAGATGCATACTCTCACTCCATGTGCAGAACTTTACTCGAAGCTTTTGTTGCCAAATCAACTTGTCTATCAACAGAAATACCCCCAAACGGAAACATCACTGTTGTCCCCTGCTCAGAGTTGCTCTAGGTTGAAACTCTGGATCCACATTGCATTCCGGGCGCTAAGACTCTGGTCCTCCCTGGCTTTGCAGTGTACCCCAAGCCTCTCACCTTCTCCTGCACCACACACAGCTGCTCTGGGGCCTCCTGACTGCTCACAGTGAGGGGCAGCTCACCTCGGCCTCGGATGATAATCAAGACCCCTGTTTCAGCTCTAGCCAACACCTCAGGGCAAGTCCCAGGAAAACTGCATAACTTCTAAGAGTTCTTCTGTTTATGTTAATACTCTTTCTATGGCCATGAGAAGAAATATCTGTGCTTTTCTAGACTGTCCAATTGTTGGGAATTTTCCTCCTGCTTTTGCCAAACTCACAATGGCAAAGCTGGCCCTGGCCTCAGAAGACGGCTCAGTCAGCCCCTGAGAGGTGGCTGTTTCGCTGCTTTTGGACAAGGCTGTCCTCTTGTGTCTGCAGCTGTCCTGGGAGTGCAGGACGGAGACCCACAGGTCCACAATGCTTCCTAAGATGAGAGGCAGCCGAAAGACCCAGCCTGGGCCAGGCGTCCACAGCCCAGAGCAGCCCTGCAGAGCAGGCGTCACGCACAGGAGCAGCCCTCGCTTCTCTGCTGTCCCTCCTGCTTTCTCACCGGGTCTCCCCAGAGCACTGTGTGTTCATCACAAAACTCCTGATCGTGGTGCTTCTTGGGAGCTCTGTGCCCACTGATGCACCAGGGACCCTGGTGACCATTGAGGGCAGAGTGGAGAGTGGGCACATATACTGGGTGTACTGGCTAGGCAACGCCCCAGAGGTCACCAGGAGACTTGCCTTCTGGGCTGCACTTATCTCTGACATCCTTTTAATCTCTGGGTGTCTTGAAATTACAAAAGGCTTACTTCCTTTTTTTTTTTTTTTTTTTACTTACTTCCTTTTTCTGGAAGTGCTTTCACTGAGCAGAAATGTTTTGCTGAGGTAGTTTCACTTTCCTGCTGCATAAATCCATGAGGAACACCAGCATGCAGTGCCCAGGTGAAAGGCACAGGCCTTCGGGGGACTCTCCTGCCTCAAGCAGCGAAGCAGGTTCAGGCTCAGCAGAAGCTCCGCTCTCCACCTGCTCCTGTGCGGACCTGGGAGGGCAGGGATCTCCTGCTGCACTGCTGCGTGCTCAGCCTCTCTCCTCTGAACCTGCTCTTCTCCCGCCAGGCTCTTGCATCTGGTGAGTGAGAAAACTCCTCGGTCCCCGGTGACTGTGTTAGTTGGTGGGCAGGAGGCTTCCTGGGTCCCGGTGTCCTGATGAAAGAGTTAGGTCAAGACACAGCCAAACGTGTGTGAGAGGAAAGGCTGAATGGATTGTAAAGAAAACAGGGCAGGGACAGAGTCAGTCCACAGGGAACAGGCGGCAGTTTGGGTTTCCTTTTATACATGTGGGACAGTAGCGCTCTGAGCTTTGGGGACCATACTGATTACCATTGCTGTTTCCATGGTGATGAAGTTTATCAGTATTGCATCTTGTACTATACCATAGAATGTCTACTGATCACTTATTGCAAAATGTCTTTTTTGTTCTTGTCACCAGTCAGGTTACTCTCTTGTCTCAGGGAATCTAGTCCTATATTTTCAAAAGAAACTTAAGGAATAAAATTGTCAGCTAACTGAAGTCCTACTGTAATGTAGGTTCAGTGGCTGGGTCTTATAAAGTTCCTCCTGTTGTTGTGGGTAGTGTTAGTGGACCAGGAGCAGAGGTGCTGCATGGCTGGCTGCCTGGTTTTAAGAATAAATGACCTTGAAGGATGTGTTTCTTTTGTACTTTGGAGGTTTTTATTTGTTTCATTGGTTTTTTTTTTTTCTTTGTGTGTCTTTTTATTCTTATCAAGAAAGGATGTCACTGTGCAGGTCAGGCTGGCCTTCAACTCACTCGTAGCCCAGGCTGGCCTTGAGCTAGCAGCAGTCCTCCTGCCTCAGCCTCCTAAACGCTGGGCTTAAAGGTGTGCACCACCATGCCTGGTTCATCTTATATTTCAAAGTCCTGATTTTTCTTCCTTTGAAAACTGTCCTAAAGGACTGGAGGATGTAAAAAACACTGAACATTCCATATTGGAAAGATGTCTCTTCATCCCAGAGCCAATGCCATGTGAGACAAACCTCCTTGCCACAGTGAATCACTACAAGGGCCCACAGCAGGGCACTGAACATTGCCTGCAGTGGCCTTGATTAAGTCAAATATTGATGGATCAGAAATGTGCTGAATTTTAGAGGAAAACTTGGGTTCTATTGAGTTCCTAGGTTACCTGGTGTCCTGTGTCTATTTTCACTCGAAACTCCCGTGTGATGTGAGGAAACTGACTTTAATCCAGCTGCCTGGTGCATTAGGACCACAGAGATTCCTGTAAGTGTCCAGCTTTCTTCTCAAACGGGCACCTGCCTTGTGCTAGAGACCCAGCCTGCGTAGACTTCCCATGGTGTGGCAGTCTGTCTGGAAGTCCTCTGTACCTGCAGGACCTGGCTTGTGGGGTTCCTTGTGCAGAATGAATCTCTGCCATGTTCCCTGCTGAGTTCTGAGAAAAGCAGTGAATTGGTTCCCATTGCTGCTATAGCAACTTGCCAACAAACTTCCTGACTTCGAACAACACAGCTTCAGGTGTAGCAGCAACCAGAGCTGAGGATGGAGGCAGGATGCAGTCAGATGTGGATGTCCCTCAACAAGAGAATGGCAAAGGACAACGCAGTCTCCATGTGTAGTGGGCGCCACTCAGCTGTAGAAAACAATGGAATTCTGTCCTGTGTGGCTCCGTGGATGAGCTCTGAGGACGCCATGAGATGGGCCAGGAAGACAAATCTGTGCGTTCTCCTTCGTGCAGAAGATAAAAGTTGATATCAAAGAAACAAAGAATAAAACCCAGATGCTCCAGGCTGGGAAGGAGAGAGGGGAGGGCCAGTGTGTCCCTCAGCTCTCCATGGTGACAAAATCATCAAGATCCAAGTGCAGAGAGCAAAGCCCCCTGGGGACTCCTGCATCCTGGCTCCAGCCCTGGCCCATCCGCCTGCTGCTCTGAGCTTGTGGCGGGGCCTCTCACTGTGGGGACCACATAATGCAGATTCCTGAGCCCCTCATGTTGCCTCTGATGCAAAGATGGAAAGGAGGAGGGGCAGCACCCTGCATCTCCCCCAGGACACACAGCAGCCTGACTTCCATCCAGCCCCCTCCCTGCAGGCCCACTACTGCCCAGGAGGACAACAGTGCAGGACAAGGCCACCAACATGAGGGGTCCAGGGAGCCTCAGGCTCCAGGTGGAACAGGACACAGGATGGGCGCTCCTGTGGATAACGCAGTTGACAGGGAGTGGGGTGGCTCTTCAGTAGCACAGAGGGAGACTGTTGGAACTCAAGGTCCATCAGAAACAGCCATCAGAGAGGATTCTCGGGGTTTCCCAGCCAGGCACTGGAACGTGTTTGAGGTGATTTGTGGATGCTCATTGCTTTGACCTGATCACCGGCCTTATACACATGTGCAGAAGTATCACCCTGCAAATCATACATGTGTGCAATTATTCAGTGTTGTGATTTTTAAAAAACCAATGTTGTCTTTTCTCGTTCTGGAGGTCAGCAATCAAGAACAACTTTCTGAGATGCAGCAGGAGGAGGGCTGGCTCCTGCAGGATCTGGGCCCATGTGCTTCGAAGGTCTCCAGAGGCTTCAGTCCCTGAGGCCTTGGCTCCAGCCTCTCTCCAGCCCCGAGGCTCCAACCCCACCAGTACTTCCTCCTCTCTCCGCTCCTCTTGTCTCTGTTCCTCCCATCTGAAATCCCAGCAGGATTCCCTCTGGCACTGAGCCCACCCGGATAACCTAGGAAGCTGTAGCATCTCAAGATCCTTCCTTGTTCACATCACCTCACCCTCTGTGCTGTGTGAGGTGATGTGGTCCTAGGTTCAGGAGTGCAGGACGCCTCTGCCTTTACAGGCTGCCACTCAGCCTTACAAACCACCCAGACTCCCAGGAGACAGAAGCTAGCCACATGAGGTGTGGGGAGGCTCTCCTGCAGCCAGGGACACCAAACTCATCCAGGGAAGCATGCAGGGAGAATAACCGGACTCAGTGTAGACTCTCGGGGTCCCATAGACATGAGCTGCTCTTTGCTCAGCCCCAGCTTCTGTCTGGATGCTCCACTGTCTGTAACTCTGTTCTCTCCCTTTTTGCAGACATATTGGAGCCAGCTGCCATGAGTGACTTCTTCTCACACTTCCTGCACAATTTGAATGAAAAGGACTTCCTGAAACTCACTAATGACTTCATGTCACACTATGTTAAATTAACACACTATGTTAAATTTGATAAGACCAAAGGCATCATCTCTCCTGAAAAACTCAACAGAATTGAAGACTCCCTCCTTGTGGGGAATCTACAGGCTGCGGTGGATGCCATTCAAGAAATACTCAGTGCGGCAGAAAATGCTGCCCTGGAGGTGGCTGTGATCGGGGAGTCGGGGACAGGCAAGTCCAGTTTCATCAATGCCCTCAGAGGCCTTGGTCCTGAGGAAGAGGGGGCGGCTGAGGTTGGGGTTGTGGAGACCACCAGGGAGAAAACCCCCTATAAACATCCACAATACCCCAACGTGACCTTCTGGGACCTGCCTGGGACTGGGACACCCACCTTCGGCCCGGACACTTACCTCGAAGCAGTGGGCTTTGCCACATTCGACTTCTTCATCATCATTTCCGCCTCCCGCTTCACCTGCAATGATGCTCTCCTGGCCCGGAAAATCCAGGAAGCTGGGAAGAACTTCTACTTTGTGAGAAACAAGGTGGACAATGATTTATATAGTGAGCGGAGAGGCAAGCCCCAGTCCTTCCAGAGGGAGAGAGTTCTCCAGCAGATCCGAGACAACTGCCTGACTAACCTCAGTAACATAGGAGTCCCGGACCCGCGCGTCTTCTTGGTCTCCAACTTTGAGCTGCATGACTTTGACTTTCCAGGTCTGCAGAGGACGATGCTGGAGGAGCTTATTGCTCACAAGCGCCAGGTGTTTGTGCTGATGATACCTCCAGTGTCGGAAGCTTCCATTGAACTGAAGAGAATTATCCTCAAGCAGATAATATGGCTGGACTCTGTGAAGTTGGCCGCTGTGGCCTTCATCTCCTTTGGGTCCATCTTCAAAGTTTTTGATTTGCCTGAACAGGAAGAGTGCTTGAAGTTTTACAAAAAATACTTTGGTTTGGATGATGAGTCCACTGAAGAGAATGCCAAGAAGCTCCACACATCTGTGCAAGACATCAAGGGCGAACTCAGGTGCTTGGATTCCTCAGCTCTACTGCAGGATGACAGCACAGAAGCAAAGTCCTTTGATGAAAAGTTTTGTGCAGTGACTGGAGGTCCTTTTTCTTCTATCATCCACATCAGGAAAGCCTACTTTATACGCTTGAAAATCCTCGATGCAGTGGCCCAAGATGCTAAGGTCCTATTGCATAAAACCCTCCATGCTCCCTTCTGACAGAATGAGGTAGAAGCACTGTGCCTGCCCTCATGTACTGGAAATTGGACCTCTGGGCTGATACTGTCAGGAATCAGGGTCATCCCAGCAGCCCTGCCCCAGTGTCCCTAAGGTAGAAAAAACCTCTGATCCACAGAGCCAGGCAACAGCTTCCCATGGTAACTCACGCTGTGCATAGGTGATTTGACCACACCCTGCCTTCTGCATGCTTTAGTCTGTTTTGATTAAAAGCCAACAGTATCTCAACCTCTGCTTCAGCTAATCTTCAAGTTTTTGTTCGTGTGTTTATTTGTTTGCTTTGCGGTGCAGGGACTGAACCCAGAGAGGGCCTTGTGCATGGTAGGCAGGGCTCTGCCTCTGAGCTCCAGCCCCAGCCCCTGCTCTCCAAGTGTCCCCAGGTAGTCCCCATTTCCTCAGGCAGTAGCACTTTGTGACACTCACAGCCGAGGTTATATACTGTCATTTTATGGCTGTGTTCTCAATCACCCTGTTAATGCTCTCTACAAAATGGAAACATTATAAAATGATTAGTAAAATGTGTGTCATTGGAAAATACAGCCAGAAATAGACTTTGATACCACACTCGTGTTTTTGATGCACATGTAATGAACACATGCACATAGTGAAATACTATTTGACAACAAAAAAAGATCAATCTGAGACTTGAGTAGAGAAACGGGTTCCCCGAGAATGTAATGTGAAGTGAGGTGAAAGGGACTCAGAAGCTTAAATCCTGCGGTTTCTCTCATTTGAGTCTTGCAAAGTTCAAATAAAGAGCAAAATAAAAGAAAGACAAATGCAGCAGAGAGAGCTTTTGCAATTAAGAAGGGGCCTGAGATACAGGGGCTGAGCTGGGGCGCAGGGAAGGGGGTGGAAACAGATTCAGATGTGTGCTGTGCAGAGCTAACCTCCCACCGTGCATACAGACATTGTACGCTGTAACATGAAATAAAGGATCATAATGAGATTGACAATAGTACAAGTAACAGTAACCACAGTAAGGAAAGCAGGGAGAGGGGATCTGGAGGTACAGGGAGGAAGGGGGGTGGGCAGGATAATAACCAAGACATCTCCTGCCATGCACCTCCTCCCAAGAGGAATGTAACCTTCACATACTGTGATGTGCACTGATAAAATAAAATACGATTCTAAAACAGAAATGGACTTGGCTGTCTTTATTCCAGCCCGAGGTCTCCTTTCTGGGAATTCCTCTACGCTGTGTGGCCGGGAGTCTGGGGAATGTATAAAGTGAAGCTCAGCAGAGGGGCGAGGGGTGACCCACCAGGGAGTTTGCAAGGCAAAGCTGAATCCCGTGGGCAGAAGAAGGGAAGCTGCTCTGACCTCGCTCAAATTCTTTATCTCACACCTGTGACATGGGACACTGCAAAACTCCAAGCGGCCTCCCCAAAGCTCAGGGACTGTCACTCTTCCTGTCATGGTAACAGTCTGCATGGGCTCTTTGTCTTCTGAGCACTGGGGGACGCTTCCCCGTGTGACAGCTGTGAGTGCCAGACAGGGTGCATGAGCCCCACCTAGTCCTGCAAGCTGTCCCCAGAGTTGGGGGCCCTGACACACACAGCAGGGCACAGAGCAGGCCGAGGCCTCCTCCACCCTCCCTGCCCACCACTGTGTGGACACAGACTGGGTGAGAAGGGAACCGGCTCTCTGCGTGTGTGGACAGAGCTAAGCTGCCTGGTGCTGTGTCCTGTTCTACGCATGTGCCCATTACTACCAGGGAGAGTGCTCAGGCCAGAGGCCAACAGCGCTCACAGTTTTAGCAGAGATCAGTTTCATCCCAGGTTCCCTTAGAAACGGCACAAATGCCAGTGACCTGCACCTTTTGGGGGTGACAGTGGGGAAGGATTTTGTTGCCTGCGTCTCTGGACGCTGTGTCCTCCCAGTGACCTTGTTCTGTTTTGGCCAGAGTGCAGCTGGAGCTCACACAGCGGGGCTGTGGCTGTTTGCTCTGAATGACTTTTCCTGCCTCCCTTTCAGGCTGCCCAAAATCCTCCTAATATCACAAGTTAGAGCAGGGGCCTTGCTTCATTGATAACAGTACAAACTTTGGGGGAATCAGCACAGATTTCAGGAAGAAGTGCAATGGTGTTTAGCCTGAGGGGCTGGTAAAGGTGTAGCCCCAGCCTTAACAAAGGAGAGTGAGAGCCAACAGGAAGGACTTCCCTCCAGGAAGCTCAGGGCAAAGTGCTCAGACTGGCTGATCCTGGAGCCTCAGAAGGGATCAGTTCTAAGGAGAGCTGCACTGGGCTTAGGTCAGCTGGATCAGAGTCTCAGGTCTGGTTTTGTAGCTTCAGAAAGTCCTATGGCCAGGAAGGATTCAGTTCCCATGGGTGAGGGCTCTCCCTTGGGTGCCGGGGCTGTTTTCTCTTCACAGAGTACAGGCTGTGGCCTAGGTAGGAGGCCTCAAATTGGGAGTCTCAGTGGCTCTGCGCTGCTTGGAATACGAGGTGATGGCAGGTTAGACAGTGCCTGTAAACTCCCAGGTCCCAGTTGCACTAACGCACAATCAAGCTTGAGATTGAAACCTGAGGCCAGCAGCTCTTGGATCAGGGTCTTCGATACAAGCGTTACGAGGAACCTGAATGTGACACTGGGATCCATGGCAGTTGCTGCCTGAAGCTTACAATCACTGTGTAATAACTCGGACCCCAGTATAAAATCCAAGGAAGCAAGAGACTGAAATTTGGGGAGCAATGGCTTTATTAGGCCAGGCCTGGTGATGAGTCTCCAGGAGCCAATTTGGAGACTGGGCACCTGACAGCTAAAAGTCAGGGCTTTTATCTTGTAAATCCACAAACAGCTGCTGGTCACACAATGTAATTAGGGGACTAGGGGTGTCGTGCACTACAGAACAGAAACAGCGCGATTACATTTCATGGGAAGAGCAAGATTTAGGTAACAAGCAAGTTTTCTTGCAAACAAGGAAGTTTAGATAAGAAGAAATCTTGTTTTCCTTAGCATAGAATAGAGAAGTCTAACAGCAATTTACAACCTTAGTTACCTTACTTTAGCAACACAACTGTTATTTGTAGAGGGCAACAATGGTTACCATATCAATTAGCTAAGATTTTACAATTTTTTACAGAGGAAACCAATTAGGTCACCCAGAGGGGGAAGGGAAAAACACATATACAGTAAGGCCAAGTTACAGGTATTGCTATGATGCCAATATAACGAAGCTATTTTTTTAGAGTACAACATTCCCCACTGATTTTAGTCAGTCAGTCAAATCATTGACTCATAGGTATCTGTTTATTACCTTGTGTGTGTCTTTAAAATCATAAGCTGTTAAGATCTTTGACATAGTTTATCAACTTGTTTACCATATAAGGCCCAATAAGAGGATTAACAAAGGTCTCTCATCTGTCATTATTAAAACTGTTAACCAAAAGGAGAAAGAAAACCAACATTTAAATTTACTCTGTTTTATCATACATGTAACAATTTTTTTAAGTCATACAGAGGCCACCTCGGGGTCTTTACAAGGAGAACACAAGATCACCAGTTACATTTGGCAATCTTAAGCTTTAAAGAGTCCTTGGAAGAAATGACAGTTACTTATCCTCAGGCTGGTTGCCTTTGGAAGCCGGGACCAGCTTGCAGAGGGAACAATGAATCAGGCAGGCTTTGGGCTACTTTGACAGTCCATTGTGGCTCAAGAGATTCACAGTGAGGTGCCTTGATGAGGACCGGTGTCCAGGTGTCTAGGCTCTCCAGCTCACAGTGGGCAGCAGGGAAATAACCAGTGGATGGAAGTCAGAGCTAGCTGAAAAGTTTGGCGGGGGGGGGGGGGAGGTTAAGTCAGCTAATTGAGTAGTTAAATCAGCTAATTTTTTAGAAACCTTTAAGTATAAGAGGAAGGTCTCATATAAAACCTCAAAAGAGGAAATATCTGCAACATAGGGGGGTGCATTGCACATGCAAAAGGGGAAAAGGAAAGAGACTCACCCAGTTTTCACCAGTTTTTAAGGCCATTAGTAATTATGGTCTTTAAAATCTGACTTATCTTTTTACCTCCCCTGAACTCTAAGGCTGGTAAGCCCAATGGAGTTTTCTAATTGATCTGCAAAGCTTAGGTTAGTTTGAGTTACTAGGCTATAAAAGCCAGGCCATTGTCGGACCCCACGAATAAAAAGGGAGGCCAAATCAGGGAAACTGTTATCAGAGCTGACTCAGACTAAGTAGAAAACGCTTTTACCCATCTAGTAAAAGTATCACCCATTATAAGTAATCACTTATATCCTTGAAGTTCAGGCCTTTTATTTTTGTAAAATCTATTTTCCAGTGTTTTCTAGGCATAGTCCCACGATAACCAGTGGTTTCTATTTCTTGCAGTTCTTTTGGATTTACCAATTGGCACTGAGGGCATCTGAAGCTCACAGACTGGGCTAGCTTGATATTAGCCACCGGGATCTCTCGGAAGTTGAGCTACCAGATGCTGGTCTTTTCAAGTGCAAATAGGCTCTGACAAAGAAAGCAGGTGGGATCAGCAGTAATGTTAAGTTTATCTCAATCCCCACTGATTTTGGGGCTGTCTGGCTGGCTATCTTTTGGAAGGTGGCCTTTGCCAAATTATTTCCCTGTATAACAAAATCATCTTCTGTCCAATGGGTTATACAGCAGATAATAGCCACTCTCCTTGGCATTTAGATGGCAGCCAACAAGTCCAAATTTGGGGAGCATTTTCAATCTTTTGACCCCAGAAGACAATAAACACCATTTTTGATAAAGACAACTTGAGGCCTCAGTGTGGCAATGAGTTTAGCCCACTAGGCTGATGTCTCTGGCTCTAAGATTTGTTCCTATAGAACCTGAGAGTGTATAATGGCAGCTCCTGCGACCCGCTTACCTTGATAGACACGTAACTACTTCTATCGGAGAAGTAGGATTGAACTCCAGATAGTGGCTTATCTGCTAGATCAGGTCGAAGTCCCGTGAGGTGATCGATGACTTCAGTACAGTTGTGGTGAGGCAACAAGGGGTCATCCTCAGGCAGCAAAGTAGCGGAGTTTGAAGCAGCTGTTTCCAGAAATAGTGCCTGATAATGTATGGCTCGGGAGTTAAACATCCATCGGTCTGGTGGGGCCTTGATAGTCTCCAGCGAATAGGAGGAAACAATTAAGAGTTTTTGTCTAAAAGTCAATTTTTAAGCCTCCTTTATGAGGGGGCCACCGAGGAAATCACCGCAGACAGGGTGACCATCTGGCTGCCAGCAAGTCTAGGATCTGTGAAGCATTTTTTATTTTAGCCCTGGCCGAGGTTAAGAGACCTCGCTCCTAATAGATGGCTCCATGTACATGTATAGTAGCAAAAGCATATCTACTATCAGTATAGATGTTTACCCTCTTTCCCGTGGCTAGTTTTAGCACCTCAGTCAAAGCAATGAGCTCCACCTTTTGGGCAGAGGTGCCAGGCTCTAACTGCTTAACCCAGAGTACCTCCTTTTCGGTGGTCACTGCTGCCCCGGCCACTCAACTGCCGTTCTGGATGAAGCTGCTTCCATGTCAGGCATAAGGGTGGCTGGGTTTAAAGCTGAAGAAGTCTTGAAAACTACCGACTCTGGGTCTAGGAGCAGGGCCAAATAGTGTGAAATTCTAGCATTTGAAAGCCATTTTTCGGGAGGGGTTTTGATAAGAGTCTCTAAACTGTGGAAGGTCACTACAGAAATCTTCTGTCCAAAAGTGAGTCTCTTAGCCTCTTTTAGTAGCATTGCCACAGCGGCCAGAATTTTTAGGCATGGAAGCCACCCTCCTGTCACTGGATCGAGCCTTTTGGAAAGATAGGCTATAGGCCTCTTCCAAGGGCCAATGTCCTGGGTTAGGACTCCTTTGGCAATGCCCCCGAGTTTATTAATGAACAAGGTGAACGGCTTGGTAACATCAGGGAGTCCCAGGGCTGGGGCCTCTGTCAAGGCCCACTTGAGCTGCTGCAAGTTCCGTTCATATTTATCAGTCCAGTTCAGTGAGTTTTTCCCTTAAGGGAGTCAAATAGAGGGTGAGCTGTTTCAGTGAAATTTAGAATCCACAGCCTGCAGTATTCAACAACTCCCAGAAATTCACGCACCTGTTTCTTAGTTTCTGGGGATGGGATCTGCAATATAGCCTGGACTCTTTTTTTAGACAAAGTCCTCTTTTTTTCCTACAATTTGTAGCCCAGATAAGTCACAGCCTGATGGCACAATCAGGCCTTTTCAGCCGAGACTTTATAGCCCAATTGCACCAAAGTCCTTAACAGTTCCTCAGTTGCCTCTCGACAAGCTTACAGGCTTCTGGTGGGGGGGGGTCGAGGCTATTAACAAGTCATCCATGAACTAGAGGAGCACTATGTCAGGGTGTTCTTCCCTAAATTCCAAAAGATCTCTTGCTAACGCTTCATCAAAAAGAGTGGCAGAGTTCTTGTAACCCTGAGGTAAACATGTCCAGGTCAGCTGTTCTTTTATCCCTGTATCTGGGTCAGTCCATTTGAAGGCAAAAAAGAGGTTGACTTACCAGAGCAAGAGGCAAAGTGAAGAAAGCTTTCAGGTCCAGAACAGAGTACCAGGTGTTCTCCGGATTGAGGAGGTAAGGTGTGCAGGGTGTAAGGATTTGGCCCTGTTGGGTGCAAAGTCAGAACTCATCTTAACTTCTCTGAGATCCTGTACAGGGCGATAGTCATTTTGTCCCTGGCTTCTGGACTGGAATCAATGGCTTGTTCCAGGGAGAGACACAAGGAATGTGAATACCATTGTCTCTTAGCCTCTGTATGTGCACTTTAATCTCTTTCTGGGCCTGCAGGCTTATTGGGTATTGCCGCAAGCAGATGGGGCGTACTTGGGGTAAGAGTTCCACAGTTCCACCACAAGGGGAACCTGGTTAATTGCTAGCCCTGGAGGGTTGTCTTCTGCCCAGACTTTTGGAATCTCCTGTTTTTATTTACTTAACAATTTTAACTCTAAGTCAGTTTGTGACGACTCAGATACGCCGGACAATTTTCCCAGTAGACAGTAATTTTTTTCCTGTTTTAAAAGACCTTTTGTGCTATCTCTATTAACTGGCTGAGGGGCATTTTTTCAAAACTTTCAAACCTTTGTAATTTTTGTCTAACATGTGGGGCCGACTGAGTTGCAAAGAGAACAACTGGCAATACTGGGGAAACCTCCTTACCTCTGGATGTCCAATCGGGGTGGGACAAAAGGAAAACATGGTTTTGGCATTCCGGATCAGAGAGCAGGCTTCATCTGGATGGCACACCACCTTTTGTCCCAAGGTGCCACATGGCAGGCCATCATTTTACTGAAATTACATACTTAACAAAAAGAGGCTTTTTCACAGGTAACAAAATTGTGCCGTATAATCTCCCAGATGTTCACAGCACATGCAAGAACTTGCATCTTATCTCTATTATCACCTATAATCTCATATTAATGGAAACATTTTGCAGCAAAGGATTACCAATCTTATAAATAAATCGACCAGAACTGATCTAATACTGTCAAATTCTGAACACATTTACTTCTTGTCAAACCTGTTATTTGCAGTACTATAAACCAAGACAAATAAAATTTACATCTTCTCAAGCTTTTTATAACTTACACTATAACCCCAAGTTTTATCTTCTTTTCACATTCTGGCACAGCCAGACATTTTTACTTGAAGACAAACCACTTTCTTTTTCCCTCTTTTTTACTATTACCAGTCAATTACCTTTCTCTCGCTTCTCAGACAACATTAAAACTCTCAACAAAACCCTTGAAGTCACCTTTTAGTAGTCTACAACATATTTAAATATTTTATGTCTTTTTTACCACATTAAAATGCTGTATTTTAAAGAAACTATAACCTTTTGACTGGCTCAATTACAGTATGACCTGGTTTTTACTTGGTAAAGTTGATATGATTCTTAAAAACCATACATATACATATATGTGCACATATGTTTACATTTTAACCAGAAAGAAAAATACTCTTTTTTAAAAGGCATGCTGAGGTTTCAGGTAATAAACTGAGGACTAAAATATTAAACAAGGTGCTACAACATTAAAGACACAAACAAAGGTTGTTTCGTGCACAGTTTGGTGAGCTAAAGGAAATCATCTTTCTTATTATGAACCTTGAATCTAATAAGCCACATGGATCCTGCAACAGAAATGGGCAACAAGCCCTAAGTTAGTAACAAATTCAAACAGGCAAACAATTTTAAAGTACAAAAACACTGAACATAAATATATAAATCCCTTTGTCCATTTTGGGCTCATAGAAGGGGTTCCTAGGAGATAATGTTCTGTTAGATTTGGGGTAACCAAAAGGAGAACAATTAGAACAAATGGACACAAACACAGAGATACAAGACAAGACAAGCTGCAGGAAAATGGCCTTTGCTCAAAAATTGGTCAAATTTTGGGATCTGGAGGAATTAACAAATTAACCAACGGAGCGGTTCCCCACCTGGGGCAGAGTCACAAACAGACAGAATTTGTCCAAAAAACCAAAAACCAATTGACTCTGTCCTCGGGACGTTCCCACTCCTAAATTGAGGGCGTCCCCTCAAAATTACAAATTGACCATGGCCCAAACAAACCCTCCAGAGTACTTACTTTCAGATGTTCATAAATGAGTCTGGGGTCTTGCTCCCATCCAGGGAGAGCCTCCAAATGTGATAACTTGGACCCCGGTATCCAAGGAAGCAAGAGACTGAAATTTGGGGAGTAAAGGCTTTATTAGGCCAGGCCTGATGACCAGTCTCTGGGAGCCAATTTGGAGACTGCACACCTGACAGCTAAAAGTCAGGGCTTTTATCTTGTAAATCCACAAACAGCCGCTGGTCACACAATGTAAGGAGGGGGATGGAGGTCTGGCGCACTACAAAACAGAAATGGCGATTACACGTCTTGGGAAGAGCAAGATCAGATAAGGGTTGTGCTAACAAGCAAGTCTCCCTGCATACAAGCAAGTTTAGATAAGAAGAAATCTTGTTTTCCTTAGCAAAGAATAGAGAAGTCTAACAGCAATTTACAACCTTAGTTACCTTACTTTAGCACCACAACTGTTATTTGTAGAGGGCAACAATGGTTACCATATCAATTAGGTAAGATTTTACAATTTTTTACAGAGGAGAGCATTGATTAACATATCAATTAGGTCACCCAGAGGGGGAAGGGAAAAACACATATACAGTAAGGCCAAGTTACAGGTATTGCTATGATAGAAATATAATAAAGCTATTATTCTAGAGTACAACAACCGTTTCAGTAAAAGACAAGACAGGAAGGCTCAGGCCAGTCCACTGGCAGAGTCACTGAGTGCTGGCCTTGGACATTTTGCTCAGCTGTGCCAATGTCTGGAGGGTGGAGGCCAGAAAGTCAGTTCTAGTTTTAATGAGTCAGAGTTCTCCCCAGGCAGATACTGACAAAGAAAAAACAAAGCATGTCTATATTAGATATCTTCCAAGTGAAAATTTATCCTCATAAAATCCTGGTAAATTTTAAAAATTTTAAAAATTTTGACACACAATTGTGGAGTAATTACGGAAATGTCCACAGTAAAATCAGGAAGGTCCATGAGTTTTGTTCAAAATGAGTTGAAAGACCCGGAATTTAGCTCAGTTGCTCAAGCTCTTCCATGATAATCAAGAGATTCTGTCTTCGATCCCTGTCCTCCTCCTTTAAGTTAGGGGTATCAGTTATTTTTTTTTCCCAGTATCAAGAAAGTGACTAGGACAGGATTCACCATCCAAAATCCCAGGGTGTTAATCTTTGCTCAAGTTCTTCTAAAGCTATGATTAGCTGGTGTTTAAAATTCCTCTTCCTTGCATTTCCTGTTGGTGGCTTGCAATTTAACACAAAAAGTGCTTCACAATGGCTGCCACTATACAAGCCAGGAAGCTGAACTAAATATATATTCACGATCCAAATTAGCATCAAAAGGTTGGTGTGGTCTGAAGACAGCAAGCTAAAGGTTTGTACTGGATTTCCTGGTCTCAGACCAACTTCAGATCTGGAGACCATATGACCTGTCTCCTGTGGTGTTTCTGCAATTTCACTAAAGTATCTAGAGTTGTTTTCCTGCTTACACAGAATATGGAAACCTTGTCCAACAGTAATGGCAAAGCGTGGCTCCCATGTTTTCAGGAGGACGGGATGTTGCACCCAAAAAAGTAAGTTTCTGTCTCTAGAAACAATATTTGCTTAATTCTCCATGCTTATTATTTTAGTTTGAATTATAGCCTGAAAGAAGATTTTTAGCAGTTTCTACAAAACATAACTAGGAGCTTTGCTCTCTGTGCAAATCCCAGAGAAGGTGGAGGAGGCAGCTGGGATTAGTCTACCAGGCCAGATCCTGCATCCCGGGTGAAGGTGTGGGGGACCCTGGAGCAGATGTTCACGCACAGAAACACTGAGCCTTCCTCAAGGATGTAGTCAGGGGCAGGCAGTGGAGGAGGGATTCTGTCCAGTGCGTGAGGTGTCCATGGGGCGACCCCTTGGCCACGGTGTGATTCAGGACCTTGCTCCACACACAGGGATCCAGATTTCAGTGGCTGACTGTGCTGTGTGACTGAAGGGACTGCATGTATTTTCCTAGTTAAAGTGCTTTTTATTTTATTTTTTGGTACCAGGGATGGAAGACAGGATCTCTCAATTACCATGGAAGTGCTTGAGCCACTGAACTAAATCCCTGGTCCCTCAACTGCTTTTGAACAAAACTCGTGGACCTTTCTGATTTTACTGAGGCATTTGCCTAATTACTCCGCAATTGTATATGAAAATCTCTTAAGTTTTTAGCATTTATCAGAATTTTATGAGGATAAATTCTCACTTGGAAATATCTAATATAGACATGCTTTGAAATTTCTTTGTCAGATTCTGTCTGGGGAGAACTCTCACTCATTAAACTAGAACTGACTTTCTGGCCTCCACCTTACAGACATTGGCACAGCTGAGCAAAATGTCCAAGGCCAGCACTCAGTGACTCTGCCAGTGGACTGGCCTGAGCCTTCCTGTCTTGTCTTTTACTGAAACAGTGATTTGTAAGCTTCAGGCGGGGACTGCCATGGATCCCAGTCTCACATTCAGGTTCCTGGTAACGCTTGTATCAAAGACCCTGATTGGAGAGCTGCTGGCCTCAGGTTTCAATCTCAAGCTTTGATGGTGCATTAGTACAACTGGGACCTGGGAGTCTGCAGGCACTGTCTAAACCTGCCAATACCTCGTATTCCAAGCAGCGCGGAGCCACACAGGCTCCCACGCTGAGGCCTCCTACCCAGGCCAGAGCATGTACTCCCTGATGAGAACAGAACCCCGGGCCCCCAAGGCAGAGCCCTCACCCATGGGAACTGAATCCTTCCTGGCCATAGGACTTTCTGAAGCTACAAAACCAGACCTGAGACTCTGACCCAGCTGACCGCAGCCCAGTGCAGCTCTCCTTAGAACTGATCCCTTCTGAGGCTCCAGGATCAGCCAGTCTGAGCACTTTGCCCTGAGCTTCCTGGAGGGAAGTCCTTCCTCTTGGCTCTCACTCTCCTTTGTTAAGGCTGGGGCTGCCCCTTTACCAGCCCCTCAGGCTAAACACCATTGCACTTCTCCCTGGAAATCTGTGCTGATTCCCCCAAAGTTTGTACTGTTATGAATGAAGCAAGGAGTCTGCCCTAACTTGTGATATTAGGAGGAATTTGGGCGGCCTGAAAGGGAGGCAGGAAAAGTGAGTCAGAGCCAACAGCCACAGCCCCACTGTGTGAGCTCCAGCTGCACTCTGGCCAAAACAGAACAAGGTCACCTGGAGGACACAGCGCCCAGAGACACAGGCAACAAAATCCTTCTCGACTCTCACCCCCAAAAGGGGCAGGTCATTGGCATTTGTACCCTTTCTAAGGGAACCCGGGATGAAACTGATCTCTGCGAAAACTGTGAGCACTCTTGGTCTCTGGTCTGAGCTCTCTCCCTGGTAGCAACGTGCACGTGCGGGGAACAGGACACAGCACCAGGCAGCTTAGCTCTGTCCACACACGCAGAGAGCGGGTTCCCTCACACCCAGTCTGTGTCCACACAGTGGTGGGCAGGGAGGGTGGAGGAGGCCTCGGCCTGCTCTGTGCCCTGCTGTGTGTGTCAGGGCCCCCAACTCTGGGGACAGCTTGCAGGACTAGGTGGGGCTCATGCACCCTGCCTGGCACTCACAGCTGTCACACGGGGCAGCGTCCCCCAGTGGTCAGAGGACAAAGACCCCATGCAGACTGTTACCATGACAGGAAGAGTGACAGTCCCTGAGCTTTGGGGAGGTCCCTTGGAGTTTTGCTGTGTCCCACGTCACAGGTGTGAGATAAAGAATTTGAGCGAGGTCAGAGCAGCTTCCCTTCTTCTGCCCACGGGATTCAGCTTTGCCTTGCAAACTCCCCGGTGGGTCACCCCTCGCCCCTCTGCTGAGCTTCACTTTATACATTCCCCAGACTCCCGGCCACACAGCGTAGAGGAATTCCCAGAAAGGAGACCTCGGGCTGGAATAAAGACAGCCAAGTCCATTTCTGTTTTAGAATCGTATTTTATTTTATCAGTGCACATCACAGTATGTGAAGGTTACATTCCTCTTGGGAGGAGGTGCATGGCAGGAGACGTCTTGGTTATTATCCTGCCCACCCACCTCCTCCCTGCACCTCCAGATCCCCTCTCCCTGCTTTCCTTACTGTGGTTACTGTTACTTGTATTAATGTCAATCTCATTATTATTCTGTATTTCATATTTACAGCGTACAATGGCCGCATGCACGGTGGGAGGTTAGCTGTGCACAGCACACATCTGAATCTGTTTACATCCCCTTCCCTGCGCCCCAGCTCAGCCCCTGTATCTCAGGCCCCTTTTCATTTGCAAAAGCTCTCTCTGCTGAATTTGTCTTTCTTTTATTTTGCTGTTTATTTGAACTTTTCATTACTCAAATGAGAGAAACCACGGGATTTAAGCTTGTGTGTCCCCTTCACTTCACATTACATTCTGCAGGGGAATCCATTTTCCTGCCCAATGCCAGACTGATCTTTCTTTGTTACCAAATAATATTTCACTATGTGCACATACCACGTGTTCATTGCATGTCCATCAAAGACACGTGTGGTATCAAGTCTATTTCTGGCTGTATTTTCCAATGCCACACATTTTACTAATCTTTTGAAAATGTTACCATTTTGTAGAGAGCATTAACATGGTGATTGAGAACAGAGCCATAAAATGACAGTATATAACCTCGGCTGTGAGTGTCACAAAGTGTTACTGCCTGAGGAAATTGGGACTCCTTGGGAACACTTGGAGAGCAAGGGCTGGGGCTGGAGCTCAGAGGCAGAGCCCCTGCCTACCATGCACAAGGCCCTCCCTGGGTTCAGTTCCTGCCCCGTAAAGCAAACAAATAAACAGATAAACAAAAACTTGGAGATTAGCTGAAGCAGAGGTTGAGATACTGTTGGGTTTTAATAAAAACATACCAAAGCATGCAGAAGGCAGGCTGTGGTCAAATCACCTATGCACAGCCTGAGTTACCATGGGAAGCTGTTGCCTGGCTCTGTGGGTCAGAGGTTTCTTCTACCTTAGGGACACTGGGGCAGGACCCTCATCCCTGACAGCAGAAGCCCCGAGGTCCACTTTCCAGTCCATGAGGCCAGGCACAGTGCTTCTACCTCATTCTGTCAGAAGGGAGGACGGAGGGTTTTATGCAACAGGACCTTAGCATCTTGGGCCACTGCATCGAGGATTTTCGAGCGTATAAAGTAGGCCTTCAGGAAGTACATGGTAGAAGATATAGGACCTCCAGTCACTGCGCAGATCTTTGCAGCACAATATATGGCCTTTGCAGCTTTGCTGGCATCCTGCAGTAGGGCTGAGGAATCCAAGCACCTGAGGTATCCCTTGATGTCTTGCACAGATGTGTGGAGCTTCTTGGCAATCACTTCAATAGACTCATCATCCAAACCAAAATACTTTCGGTAAAGCTGCAAGCACGCTTCCTGTTCAGGCAAATCGAAGCTTTTGAAGATGGACCCCAAGGGGATGAAGGCCACAGCTGACAACTTCAGAGCCTCCAGCCAGATCATCTCTTTGAGTATACTTCTCTTCAGCTCAATGGAAGCCTCCGACAGCGCGGGCAGCATGAGCACAAAGACGTGGCGCTTGTGAGCAGGAAGCTCCTCCAGCATCGTCCTCTGCAGATCTGGGAAGTCAAACTCATGCACATGAAAGTTGGAGACCAAGAAGATGCGCGGGTCAGGCACTCCTATGTCACAGAGGTTAGCCAGGCAGTAGTCTTGGATCTCCTGGAGAACTCTCTCCCTCTGGAAGGACAGGGGCTTGGCTGTCTGCTCGTTATATAAATCACTGTCCACCTTGCTTCTAACAAAGTAGAAGCTCTTCCCAGCTTCCTGGATTTTCCGGGCCAGGAGAGCATCGTTGCAGGTGAAGCGGGAGGAGGAAATGATGATGAAGAAGTCGAATGTGGCAAAGCCCACTGCTTCGAGGTAGGTGTCCGGGGCGAAGGTGCGCGTCCCCACCCCAGGCAGGTCCCAGAAGGTCACGTTGGGGTACTGTGGATGTTTATAGGGGGTTTTCTTCATGGTGGTCTCCACAACCCCACCCTTTGCCGCCCCCTCTTCCTCATGACCAAGGCCTCTGAGGGCATTGATGAAACTGGACTTGCCTGTCCCCGACTCCCCGATCACAGCCACCTCCAGGACAGCATTTTCTGCTGCACTTAGTATTTCTTGAATTGCATCCACTACAGCCTGTAGATTCCCCACACTGAAGGCCTCTTTAATTCTCTTGAGTTTTTCCAGGGAGATGATGCCTTTGGTCTTATCAGTTAATTTAACATAGTGAGACATGAAGTCATCAGTCAGTTTCTTAAAGTCCTTTTCTTTCAAATTTTTCAGGTAATCTGAGAAGAAGTCACACATGGCTGCTGGATCTGGAAGGTCTGCAGAAAGGGTGAGAACAGAGTTACAGACAGTGGAGCATCCAGACAAAAGCTGGGACTGGGCAAAGAGCAGCGCAGGGCTATGGGATCCCCGAGAGTCTACACTGAGCCTGGTTATTCTCCCTGCATGCTTCCCCGGATGAGTTTAGGGTCTCTGGCTGCAGGAGAGCCTCCCAGCCCCTCATGTGGCTGGCGTCTGGGCGGTTTGCAAGGCTGAGTGGCAGCCTATAAAGGTGGAGGCATCCTGCATTCGAGAATCCAGGACCACATCATCTCACACCGCACAGGGGGTGACGTGATGTGAGCAAGGAAGGATCTTGAGATGCTACAGATTCCTAGGTTATCTGGGGGGGCTGAATGTCAGAGGGAATCCTGGTGGCATTTCAGACAGGAGGAACAGAGACAAGACGACCTGAGAGAGGAGGAAGTGCTGGTGAGGTGGGAGCCCCAGGGTCGGAGAGAGGCTGGAGCTAAGGGCTCAGGGAGGCTGGAGCCTCTGGAGGCCTGGGAAGCACATGCGCCCAGATCCTGCAGGAGCCAGCCCTCTTCCTGCTGCATCTCAGGAACGTGTTCTTGATTACTGACCTCCAGAACAAGAAGAGACTACGTTGATTTTTAAAAAATGACAACAGAGAATAATTGCACATATGTATGATTTGCAGGGTGATACTTCTACACATGTGTATAAGGCCGGTGAGGAGCTCAAAGCAATGAGCATCCACCCATCACCTCTAACACGTACCAGTGCCTCGCTGGGAATCCTCTCTCGTGGCTATTTCTGAGGCAACCTGAGTCCCCATTGTTCCCCTCTGTGCTACTGCACAGCCACTCCATGTCAACTGCTTTGTCCACAGGAGCGCCCATCCTGTGTCCTGTTCCACCTGGACCCTGAGGCTCCCTGTACCCCTCATGTTGGTGGCCTTGTCCTGCACTGTTGTCCTCCTGGCAGCAGTGGGCCTGCAGGGAGTGGGACTGGATGGAAGTCAGGCTGCAGTGTGTCCTGGGGGAGATGCAGGGCGCTGCCCCTCCTGCTTTCCATCTTTGCACCAGAGCCAACAGGAGGTGCTCAGGTATCTGTACCGTGTGCTCCCGGCAGTGTGAGGCCCGGCACAGGCGCAGAGCAGCAGGAGGATGGTCCAGGGCTGGAGCCAGGATGCACGAAGCTTTGCTCTCTGCACTCCATTGTCTTGATGATTTTGTCACCATGGAGACCTGAGAGACACAATGGCTTTCACCTCTCTTCCTTCCAGCCTGGAGCATCTGGGTTTTATTCTTGTTGTACTCTAAGAAAATAGCTTCGTTATATGTGGATTATAGCAAACCTGTAAAGTGCCTTACTAAATGTTTTTTTTTATCCTTTTTCCTTAACTGATATGTTAAGTGACCTAATTGATATGTTGAGCAATACTCTCCTCTGTAAAGAATTGCAAGAATCTCACCTAATTGATATGTTAACCATTGTTGCCCTCTACAAACTACAGAAGCTGTGCTAAAACAAGCTAACAAGGGTTGTTAATCACTGTTAGGTGCCTCTATCCTCCGATAAAGAGCTAAAGAAAACTAGAATGGCCCATTAATTTATACTTGTTTAAAGTAACCTGCTTGTGTGCAGAGAGATTTGCGTATGAGTTTAACCCTTTACCCTGACCCTGACACATAACCGCCGTTTTCTGTTCTGTATGGCGCCTTATTGCCTCCCTCTCCCCTCACCTATCTATCTAGGCCATAAAGAATTTGGGTTTCTGGTGACCTCCTCCCAACCCAGTGATGATCTGTCATAAAATGAGCCTGCCCCAAATTTTAAGAACTGTTTAGCTTCAAAGAAATTACCGGGAAATACTATGGCCCAAACCCCAATCGGTGCTTTCCTTTGGTTCTGTATGCATCAAGTGAGTTAGATATCAGATCTTTGTAAAACTTAAGTTTCAGCTTCTTGTAACTCTTGACCTCTTTGCACCCACTAGCGAAAACGAGCTGTCCTGGGATAATTAACTTCCCCACTTTCTTCTCCAAATATTGCTGCAGACGTGCCACTCCGAGATAATGTCAGTCTGTAAGATGGGAGTAACTTGAGAAACACCAGGAACTCCCGAGATTGTCAGAGCTAAGTGGACAGCAATACAGTTTCCAGACTCGGGTCAACAAGTTTGATGGCTCTGCAGGTTTCTTTGTTCCTCCCCCCACCCTTTTCCTCCAGCCTCTTTTTAAAGTCCTCCTTTCAGTCTCTGGGACACAGTTTCCAAACTGCCTCCCGGAGACTGGTCGCCAGGCCTGGAAATAAAGCCTTTGCCACCTAAATTTTCGGTCTCTTGCCTCCTTGGATTTTATACCGGGGCCCAAGTTATAACAATTCTCTATTTCGTTGAGATCAACTTTAGCTTCTGCACATGAGAACGCACAGATTTGTCTTCTTGGCCCATTTCATGGCGTCCTCAGAGCTCATCCACGGAGCCACACAGGACAGAATTCCATTGTTTTCCACAGCTGAGTGGCACCCACTACACATGGAGACCGCGTTGTCCTTTGCCATTCACTTGTGGAGGGACATCCACAGCTGACTGCATCCTGTCTCCTTCCTCAGCTCTGGCTGCTGCTATGCCTGAAGCTGTGTTGTTTGAAGTCAGGAAGTTTGTTCGCAAGTTGCTATAGCAACAATGGGAACCAACTCACTGCTTTTCTTAGAACTCAGCAAGGAACATGGCAGAGATTCATTCTGCACAAGGAACCCCACAAGCCAGGTCTACAGGTACAGATGACTTCCAGTCAGATTGCCATGCCATGGGAAGTCCAGGCAGGCTGCGTCTCCAGGACAAGGCAAGTGCCCGTTTGAGAAGAAAGCTGGACACTTACAGGAATCACTGTGGTCCTAATGCACCAGGCAGCTGGATTAAAGTCAGTTTTCCTCACATCACACAGGAGTTTCGAGTGAAAATTTGACACAGGACACCAGGTAACCTAGGAACTCAATAGAACCCAAGTTTTCCTCTAAAATTCAGCACATTTCTGATCCATCATTTGACTTAATCAAGGCCACTGCAGGCAATGTTCAGTGCCCTGCTGTGGGCCCTTGTAGTGATTCACTGTGGCAAGGAGGTTTGTCTCACATGGCATTGGATCTGGGATGAAGAGGCATCTTTTCCAATATGGAATGTTCAGTGTCTTTCACATCCTCCAGTCCTTTAGGACAGTTTTCAAAGGCAGGAAAATCAGGATTTTGAAATATAAGATGAACCAGGCATGGTGGTGCACACCTGTAAGCTCAGCATTTAGGAGGCTGAGGCAGGAGGACTGCTGCTAGCTCAAGGCCAGCCTGGGCTACGAGTGAGTTGAAGGCCAGCCTGACCTGCACAGTGACATCCTTTCTTGATAAGAATAAAAAGACACACAAACAAACAAACAAAAAACCCCAGTGAAACAAAGAAAAACCTCCAAAGTACAAAATAAACACATCATTCAAGGTCATTTATTCTTAGAACCAGGCAGCCGGCCATGCAGCACCTTTGCTCCTAGTCTACTAACACTACGCACAACAGCAGGAGGAACTTTGTAAGACCCAGCCACTGAGCCTACATCACAGCAGGACTTCAGTTAGGTGGCAATTTTATTTCTTAAGTGTCTTTTGAAAATACAGGACTAGATTCCCTGGGACAAGACAGTAACTTAACTGAGTGACAAGAACAAGAAAGACATTTTGCAATAAGTGATCTCCAGACATTCTAAGGTATAGTCCAAGATGCAATAGTGATACACTTCATCACCATGGAAACAGCGATGGTAATCAGTATGGTCCCCAAAGCTCAGAGCGCTACTGTCCCACATGTATAAAAGGAAACCCAAACTGCCGCCTCAGCTTGTGCCTGCCTGTTCCCTGTGGACTGACTCTGTCCTTGCCCTGTTTACAATCCATTCTGCCTTTGCTCTCACACACGTTTGGCTGTGTCTTGACCTAACTCTTGCATCAGGACACCAGGATCCAGGAAGCCTCCTGCCCACCAACTAACACAGTCACCGGGGACCGAGGAGTTTTCTCACTCACCAGATGCAAGAGCCTGGCGGGAGAAGAGCAGGTTCAGAGGAGAGAGGCTGAGCACGCAGCAGTGCAGCAGGAGATCCCTGCCCTCCCAGGTCCGCACAGGAGCAGGTGGAGAGCGGAGCTTCTGCTGAGGCCAAGCCTGCTTCGCTGCTTCAGGCAGGAGAGTCCCCCGAAGGCCTGTGCCTTTCACCTGGGCACTGCATGCTGGTGTTCCTCATGGATTTATGCAGCAGGAAAGTGAAACTACCTCAGCAAAACATTTCTGCTCAGTGAAAGCACTTCCAGGAAAAGGAAGTAAGTAAAAAAAAAAAGGAAGTAAGCCTTTTGTAATTTCAAGACACCCAGAGATTAAAAGGATGTCAGAGATAAGTGCAGCCCAGAAGGCAAGTCTCCTGGTGACCTCTGGGGCGTTGCCTAGCCAGTACACCCAGTATATGTGCCCACTCTCCACTCTGCCCTCAATGGTCACCAGGGTCCCTGGTGCATCAGTGGGCACAGAGCTCCCAAGAAGGACCACGATCAGGAGTTTGGTGATGAACACACAGTGCTCTGGGGAGACCCGGTGAGAAAGCAGGAGGGACAGCAGAGAAGCGAGGGCTGCTCCTGTGCGTGACGCCTGCTCTGCAGGGCTGCTCTGGGCTGTGGACGCCTGGCCCAGGCTGGGTCTTTCGGCTGCCTCTCATCTTAGGAAGCATTGTGGACTTGTGCGTCTCAGTCCTGCCCTGCCAGGGCAGCTGCAGACACAAGGGGACAGCCTTGTCCAAAAGCAGTGAAACAGCCACCTCTCAGGGGCTGACTGAACCCTCTTCTGAGGCCAGAGTCAGCTTTGCCATTGTGAGTTTGGCAAAAGCAGGAGGGAAATTCCCAACAATTGGACAGTGTAGAAAAGCACAGATATTTCTTCTGGTGGACATAGAAAGGGTATTAACATAAACAGAAGAACTCATAGAAATTATGCAGTTTTCCTGGGACTTTCCCAGAGGTGTTGGCTAGAGCTAAAATAGGGGTCTTGATTATCACCCGAGAGCTAGGTGAGCTGCCCCTAACTGTGAGCTGTCAGGAGGCCCCAGAGCAGCTGTGTGTGCAGTGCAGGACAAGGTGAGACAGGCTTGGGGACCACTGCAAAGCCAGGGAGGACCAGAGTCTTAGTGCACAGAATACAATGTGGATCCAGAGTTTCAACCTAGAGCAACTCTGAGCAGGGGACTACAGTGATGTTTCTGTTTGGGGGTATTTCTGTTGATAGACAAGTTGATTTGCCAACAAAAGCATCGAGTAAAGTTCTGCACATGGAGTGAGAGTACGCATCTGTGTTCCCTGCACAAACACACAGGCAGCCAGGTTCGCCCAGAATCACAAAAGAGTGAAGTTCATAAACGGAGATGTTTCCACAGGAAGGCCAGGACAAGGCCAGTGGAGAGAAAGCGCAGGGAAATAACAAGGGCCAAGTCAGAAATGAAGACACCCCTGTGCCTCCGGGGTACGGGTCTCTTCTGTGCTCTCTGGCGCCTGAAGACCTAGATTGGGGTGAAGGCAGAGGGAGCAGAAATGCTCCTGCGTTCATAGGGGGAGCTGTGGAAGGGCCTGGATTCTGGGGCTCCTAGCTGACCTGCTCTTAGGTAGGGGCCTGGTCAGTAGACATGGTCACCGTGGGCGTAGCCTGGGGCTGCACTCTGCCCCCCAGTCCCTCCTGTCTTCTCTCCTTACTGTCCCTGGCTGTGCACAGCTCTCCTCCACCAGGCCCCTCTCCTTGTTGTCCTGACTTGGAGCCTGCCAGCTGCAGGAAGGTGGGAGCCCAGCTAACCCTCTCCTCTGCTAAACTGTGGGTGCTATTTATTGCATCCCAGTGACAAGCAAAGTGACTAATACAGGCAGGATGGCTGATGCCTTCAGTAGACACAAGTAACCGGGAGCTCTGGCTGCTGACTGACACCCCGACACCCCTCCTTGTCCACCATGTGTGAGGAAGGCCTGCCACTCCTATGGGCTCTGCAGGAAATGAAGAATGAAGCGCCTATTGTCACGCCTGCACTGTGGTTTGGGAGACAGGAATTACAGGCACACAGTGGTATTCAGTCAGTTTTACCTTTGTGTGGTGATTTAAAGTTTAAACAGTGAAAAGGCATTTAAGTCTGAAACAGGTGCCTGAGAAGTCTGCAGCCCTCACAGGCCTACACAGAGAGGAGATGGGTCACAGACCACAGCTGGCAGGTTCTCCTTCATGCTGTCTACTCCAGGTGCAGCAGGGAAAAGATTTAATATGCAACACAATCTGTAGGATTATTTTATAATATTCACCCCAAGAGTCAAATGCACAGGACTGAGGCAGGAAGAAGCCAACCCTGCCCCGCCCGTGCCATGAGCCTGCCACTTGGGGCCTGGAGGAGAAGTAGGAGACAGTGTGAGGGACTCCCCTTGAATGCAGCACAGCTGCTGCCACACTGATTGTACTGAGGCTTATTTCCATCCATTGAGATGAACAGAGCTGGTGTTTCCTTCTCTCTTCCCCTGGCTCTAAGCATTGTAATAAGGTTAGCCAGGTCCTGGTACTGTCCTCTCTAAACATCTCCCGTTTCCTGCCACAGTGCTCTCTCTATAACAGATAAGCACAGCAGGATGGCAGAGCCAGTCAGCTCCAGGAATGTCACCTGGCTAGAGCCTCAAAGTAAAGAGGCTATGAGTCCCTAGGGCACAAATGTTTACATATCAGAAACTGAGCAACAGCCTCCAAAACCATTCAGTTGCTACCTTCATTGAATTAGCAGACTGAGCCTTGTGCAGTCAGTCTCCCTTCATTTTGCAAAGAGGTTTTCTCCCCACTTAGCTAGCTAGCTGGGTTACTCACATGGCAGTTCCAGCCATCCTAGTCCTCACTGTCACTCATCCTCAGGCCACGCCTTCTTCACAAGAAAATAAATTCTGGGAGAGGCTTTGGATCAGGGCCTTGGTCTTCGTATCTTCCTCAAGCTTGGATTTAGGACCTCGTGGTTGCCCTTAGCTTTGAGTCTGTCTCGGTGTATTTACACTCACTGTGGTTTGCACTGGAGGTGGTGGGTTGGAATTAATTTGCTGGGATTCCAATAACATTTCAATGTGGTTAGAAGCATAACTTTTTGGATTGTGAGGAAGACTAAGAAACGGATTACTGATAGAACTGTGGGGGACCATTGGTGGCTAAAATGATAAGAAGTATGAAATATAAAAGACCTTTATTTTGAGAATGCGGGGAGAGACACCCCTGATCTGCTGGGGTGCGGCATCTCCCCTGAGGTTGGTGATCTCTCCGTTGAACACATGGAGTGAGGCACATAAGTAGTCTCGGTTTGGGGTGGAACACAAGGGGGTATTGGGGATGCACAGGTAGCCCATTGGTCTTTGTTTGGTGCCATAGGTAAATTCCTAGGGGTGGGGGAGATAGGAGCACCTTGGCTTTATCTGCTACAGTGTCCTGTCTGGGCCAAAACTCTTTCAATTACAATACTTGGATTACCATATTCCCAGTACAACACGAGAAGCCACACCCCGCACCTCTCTTCCACCCCAGGAACTTTGGATGGAAGGAGCCCAGCCAGGCAGCCGAATCCCCTGCATCGAAGGACAGGCAGCCATTGCAGGAAACGATGGGAACTCAGCGACCTGCTGATTCGGAGGATTACAGGAAAGTGTGAGGCTAAGGAGCAGGTGCAGTCTGAGACCCCCAGCCCACCCAGAACAAGTCCAGGACACACAGATGTGATAACTCGGATCCCGGTATAAAATCCAAGAAAGCAAGAAATTAAAATTTGAGAAGCAAAGGCTTTATTAGGTAAAATCCAGGCCTGGTGACTAGTCTCCGGGAGCCAATTTGGAGAATGAGCACCTCACAGCTAAAAGTCAGGACTTTTTATCTTGTAAATCCACAAACAGCTGCTGGTCACACAATGTAAGGAGGGGGATGGGGGCGTGACACACTACAAAGCAGAAATGGCAATTGCAAGTCTCCCTGCATACTAGCAAGTTTAGATAAGAAGAAATCTTGTTTTTCTTAGCAAAGAATAGAGAGGTCTAACAGCAATTAACTACCTTAGTTACTTTACTTTAGCACCACAACTGTTCTATTTGTAGAGGGCAACAATGGTTAACATATCAATTAGGTAAGATTTTACAATTCTTTACAGAGGAGAGCATTGATTAACATATCAATCCTTTGCCCAGAGGGAAAGGAAAACACACATTTACAGTAAGGCCAAGTTACAGGTATTACTGTGATACAAAGGAAGCTATTTTTGTGAAGAATGTACAATCTAATACAATCTAATGCAATTAACACAATTTGTGACGGGCTACCAGGTCTTTTTGGGTAGGGATGACTTGGGTTGTCAGGAGCTATTACCTCAGGCCTTTGTTTTATAGCCTTTAGGAAGTTAAAACTTAACCTAGTTAGATTTGAAGGGAGAAGGGGAGGGGAAGCAGCAGGTGGGCTTATACCTTAGAACAGACCTTAGGATAATTAGGGGGGCTTAGGTTATAACAACAGACACAAAGAGATTAGAAGACACACACCCGAGACGTCCGAAATGATAGCAACTGAAGTAAAGAAACAACTTCGTGCTTATGTTGTTTGATTAATGTTGCATGCCTGTGTCTGGAAGTCTGAGCAACTATGTGGAGGATAACACAGTGCAATATAGTGACTGTTGTTTTTGCAATTCATTATCATTGTCATTGGCTTGTTTTGTTTTATTCTCTTTAAAATAAAAAAGTAAAAGTTTTTTAAAAAGTGTGGGAGGTCTGTTCACACACTAGAGACCCAAAGAATCCAGTGGATCACCTGGATCCCACAGTAGTGTCCCCCTTGAGTCCAACTGGAGCTCTAGAGCCCATGGCTGTTGTGGCCTAGCTCTTCCACCTATCTGCAATAAAACGTGCTGTTCCTTAAGAAATGTTTAAGCACAAGGAAATTACAGGAGATAACAAGAAGCCCAGATGCTATCAAACTGTGTCAAAGTTCACAACATTCCTGTGGTTTTCGGCTTTTATAGCCCAACCCCTACCTGAACCTTGCTGTTTCCAAGAAATGTAATCACCATGTTCCTGGTCTGTAGTGCGCCACAAACCCACCCCGCTCCTTGCATTGTGAGACCAGCAGCTGTTTATAAGATAAAAACCCTATCCTTTAGCTGTGAGGTACACAGTCTTCCATATTGGCTCCTGGAGGCTGTGTCGCCAGGACTGGCCTAAAATAAAGCCTTTGCTCCCTAAATTTTAATTTCTTGCTTCCTTGGATTTTATTCCGGTGTCCAGGCTATCACAATGGCAGGGTGGCATGCAAGTCTGTGTCAAGGATCTGCACTGGGAAGGCCCAAACGTCAGTGGTGGAAGCTAGAAAGTCTGTACTAGCAGGGGGAAGGATCGTGCCAGCAGCTGAGGGATCTTCCCTGGAGCCAGGAAGTGACACTCAAGATCAGGACCCTCTAGAGCTCTGCTGAAGAGAACTGCAGCCATCCCAAGGGAAAGCGACCTAAATGGTGAGGTCAGCAGTGTGTAACGCGGGTGTTCAATAGAGATGTGAAGGACTTGTATTTTATTTTTTTACTTTTTATTTTTTGGTACTGGGGATCGAACTCACGACTTTGTGCTTGCAAGGCAGGTGCTTATGCCGCTGAGCAGCCGGGGGAGCCTCGGCCACCTTTCCCCTCACATGGATGACCTCAGCAGCCCACAGGAGCATCAGCAACCCTTCCACCACCTGGAGTACCTCAGTAGGCTGGCAGGAGCCTCTGCTATTTGTTTCCCCCACACAGAGGCCCTCAGTGAACCAGCAAGAGTGTGGTGAGTCCCCATCACCTCCATCAAGAAGAGGACCTCAGTGGGTTGGCAGGAGCCTTGGAAAACTCTCCGTCCACCTGGCTGAGCTCGGTAGGGTGGCAAGAACACGAGTAACCCCTTCTTCCCTACAGAGAACCCCAGGTGGGCTGGCGCGAGTGCCAGGGAGGCCTCCCCCAACCGGAGGAACCCAAAAGGGACTACAAGACCCCCTGTGGCACAGTAAGAGCATACACCATGGACAGAGGGCCGGTGACCTGGAACAGTCTGAGGCCACAATAACAACAGGAGCTAAGGGTTGGTTCACATCAATATTCCCAACCAGTCAGCCTCGAAAGAACACAGGACTCACCCACGGGAGTAGTGTAGGTGACTGCACCGCCCCTGCACTGCAGGGCACAGTGGGTGGGTGAACATCAGCCACACAGTAGGACCTTAAATCACAAGCAGTGGACAGTCCAGACTAGCGGGATTGGAAAGACCTAAATATTAACCCGAGGTGAAAATGCAAAGGCCACATGAAATCTCAAACTCCAGCCCGTCTGCAACAAGGATGTCCACGACCACCGCTCCCATGCAATAGAGTTTGGGAAGCGTTAGCCAGAACAACTAGACAAGAGAGAAGTAAAAGGAACAAAGATAGAAAAGGAAGCCAGTGAATTATCCTTATTTGCAGATGACATGATGCTCTACAGAGAAGGCCCCAAAAACTCCACCAAAAGATTACTAGAGTTAGTAATCAAATTCAGCAGTGTAGCTAGATACAAAGTCAGCACTCAAAAATCAATAGTATGCCTGTACACAAACAACAAACTCACGGAGAGAAAAATTCTGAAAATGACACCTTTCGTATTAGCATCCAAAATAATGAAACATTTATCAATCAATCCAACAAAGGAGGTAAAAGATCAGTACACTAAAAACTGTAGTACTCTGAAAAAGGAGATTGAAGGGGATATCAGAAAATCTAAATATATCCTTTGCTCTTGAATAGGAAGACCCAACGTAGTGAAAATGGCCATAGTCCCCAAACTGTTACATAGATCTAATGCAATCCTGATCAAAATACCATTAGCATACCTTACAGATCTAAAATTCATCGGGAACCAGAAGAGACCTAAAATAGCAAAGGCAATGTTGGGCTACAAAGGAAAGGCAAGAGGCATCACAATCCCAGACTTGAAATTATGCTACAAAGCTACTGTGGTAAAATCAGCATGGTACTGCAAAAAGAACAATAGACCTGAGGATCAGAGGAACAGAACAGAAGATGCAGACACAACTACGAACACACTCAGCCACTTTAAATTTGGCAACGGGGCCAAACAAGGTCACTGTGTTAGTCACTTTGCTTGTCACTGGGATGCAGTAAGTAGCATCCACAGTTTAGCAGAGGAGAGGGTTAGCTGGGCTCCCACCTTCCTGCAGCTGGCAGGCTCCAAGGCAGGACAGCAAGGAGAGGGGCCTGGGGGAGGAGAGCTGTGCACAGCCAGGGACAAGAAGCAGAGAAGAAAGGAGGGACTGGGGGGCAGAGTGCAGCCCCAGGCTATGCCCACGGTGCCCACCTCTTCTGACCAGGCCCCTACCTAACAGCAGGTCAGCTAGGAGCCCCAGAATCCAGGCCCTTCCACAGCTCCCCCTATGAACGCAGGAGCATTTCTGCTCCCTCTGCCTTCACCCCAATCTAGGTCTTCAGTGGCCAGAGAGCACAGAAGACACCCTCACACCGGAGGCACAGGTGGGGACTGATTTCCAACTTGGCCCTTGTTATTTCCCTGCATTGTCGGGTTGCTTTGTCCTGGCCTTCCTGTGGAAACAGCGGTACCTCCCTTTAGGAACTTAACTGTTTTATGATTCTGGGCCAACATGGCTGCCCGTGTGTTTGTGCAGGGAACACGGGTGAGGTCCTCTCACCCCATGTGCAGGGTGTGACAGAAGCAGAACATTGCTGGATGCTTTTGTCGGCAAGCCAACTGGTCTATAAACAGAAATACTCCCAAACGGAGACATCACTGTAGTCCATTTCTCAGAGTTTCTCTAGGTTAGAAACTGGATCCACATTGCATTCCGGGCACTAAGACTCTGGTCCCCCTGGCTTTGTAGTGGTCCCCAAGCCTGTCTCACCTTGTCCTGCACCGCACACACAGCTGCTCTGGGGCCTCCTGACTGCTCACAGTGAGGGGCAGCTCACCTCGCCCTCGGGTGATAATCAAGACCCCTGTTTCAGCTCTAGCCAACACCTCAGGGAAAGTCCTGGGAAAACTGCAGAATTTCTAAGAGTTCCTCTGTCTTTGTTAATTATCTTTCTATGTCCATTAGAAGAAATACCTGTGCTTTTCTAGACTGTCCAATTGTTGGGAATTTTCCTCCTGCTTTTGCCAAACTCACAATGGCAGAGCTGGCCCTGGCCTCAGAAGAGGGTTCAGTCAGCCCCTGAGAGGTGGCTGTTCAGGGGCTTTTCGACAGGGCTGTCCCCTTGTGTCTGCAGCTGCCCTGGGAGTGCAGGACGGAGACCCACAGGTCCACAATGCTTCCTAAGACCAGAGCCAGCCGAAAGACCCAGCCTGGGCCAGGCATCCCAAGCCCCAGAGCAGCCCTGCAGAGCAGGCGTCATGCACAGGAGCAGCCCTCCCCCTCTCTGTTTGGGTCCTGGCTTTCTCACCCGGTCTCCTCAGAGCACTGTGTGTTCATCACCAAACACCTGATTGTGGGGCTTCTCGTGAGCTCTGTGCCACTAATGCACCAGCAACGCTGGTGACCACGGTGGCCAGAGTAGACAGTGGGCACAGCTCTCCTCGAGGGGAAAGGCACAATGGGACAGAGGCATTGGTGTCTTCTCTTTCCTCTCCCTGGGAGGACTGGAAACTCACCCACTTGTCCCCAGTTCCCCTTAGGCCCTGAGAACACATCTCATGGGTGTGCTGGTTAGGTGACTGCGCAGAAGTCACCGGGAGCCTTATCTTCTGAGTTACACCTGTCTCTGACATCCTCTTAAGCTCTGGGCATCTTGAAATTACAAAAGGCTTACTTTCCTTTTCCTGGAAGTGCTTTAACTGACCAGAAATGTTTTGCTAAAGTAGTTTCACTTTCTTGCTGTATAAATACATGAGGAACACCAGCATGCAGTGCCCAGGTGAAAGGCACAGGCCTTCGGGGGACTCTCCTGCCTCAAGCAGCGAAGCAGGTTCAGGCTCAGCAGAAGCTCCGCTCTCCACCTGCTCCTGTGCGGACCTGGGAGGGCAGGGATCTCCTGCTGCACTGCTGCGTGCTCAGCCTCTCTCCTCTGAACCTGCTCTTCTCCCGCCAGGCTCTTGCATCTGGTGAGTGAGAAAACTCCTCGGTCCCCGGTGACTGTGTTAGTTGGTGGGCAGGAGGCTTCCTGGGTCCCGGTGTCCTGATGAAAGAGTTAGGTCAAGACACAGCCAAACGTGTGTGAGAGGAAAGGCTGAATGGATTGTAAAGAAAACAGGGCAGGGACAGAGTCAGTCCACAGGGAACAGGCGGCAGTTTGGGTTTCCTTTTATACATGTGGGACAGTAGCGCTCTGAGCTTTGGGGACCATACTGATTACCATCACTGTTTCCATGGTGATGAGGTTTATCAGTACTGCATCTTGGACTATACCTTAGAATGTCTGGAGATCACTTATTGCAGAATGTCTTTCTTGTTCTTGTCACTCAGTCAAGTTACTGTCTTGTCCCAGGGAATCTAGTCCTGTATTTAAAAAGAAATTTAAGGAATCAAGTTTCCACCTAACTGAAGTCCTACGATAACGTAGGCCCGGTGGCTGGGTCTTACAGTGTTACTTGTGTTCTTGTGAGTAGTGTTAGTGGACCAGGAGCAGAGGTGCTGCATGGCCGGCTGCCTGGTTCTAAGAATAAATGACCTGGAAGGATGTGTTTATTTTGTATTTTGGGTTTTTTATTTATTTGTTTGGGGATTTTTTGGTTCGTTTGGTTTTTTGTTCTTATCAAGAAAGGGTCTCACTGTGCAGTTCAGGCTGGCCTTCAACTCACTCTGTAGCCCAGGCTGGCCTTGAGCTAGCAGCAGTCCTGCTGCCTCAGCCTCCTAAGAGCTGGTCTTGGAGGTATGCACTGTCATGCCTGGCTCATCTTATATTTCAAAGTCCTGATTTTTCTTCCTTTGAAAACTGTCCTGAAGGCCTGGAGGATGTAAAAGACCCTGAACATTCCATATTGGAAAGATGTCTCTTCAACCTAGAGCCAATGCCATGTGAGACAAACCTCCTTGCCACAGTGATCACTACAAGTGCCCACAGCAGGGCACTGATCATTGCTGCAGTGGCCTTGGTTCAGTCAAATATTGATGTTCAAGAACTGTGCTGGGTCTTAGTGGGAAGCTGGCGGTTCTATTGAGTTCCTAGGTTACCTGGTGTCCTGTGTCTAATTTCCACTCGAAAGTGCTGTGTGATGTGAGGAAAACTGTAATCCAACTGCCGGTGCATTAGGTCCACAGTGATTCCTGTGAGTGTCTAGCTCAATTTTCAAATAGGGCACCTGCCTTAGGCTGGAGATGCAGCCTGCCTGGACTTCCCACAGCGTGGCAGTCTGTCTGGAAGTCCTCTGTACCTGAAGGACCTGGCTTGTGGGGTTCCTTGTGCAGAATGAATCTCTGCAATGTTCCCTGCTGAGTTCTGAGAATAGCAGTGAATTGGTTCCCATTGCTGCTATAGCAACTTGCCAACAAACTTCGTGACTTCAAACAACACAGCTTCAGGTGTAGCAGCAACCAGAGATGAGGATGGAGGCAGGATGCAGTCAGCTGTGGATGTCCCTAAACAAGTGAATGGCAAAGGACCACGTGGTCTCCATGTGCAGTGTGTGCCACTCAGCTGTAGAAAAAATGGAATTCTGTCCTGTGTGGCTCCCTGGATGAGCTCTAATGACGCGGTGAAATGGGCCAGGAAGACAAATCTCTGCGTTTTCATTCATGCAGAAGCAAAAAAGTTGATCCCTGAGCACCTCCTGTTGGCTCTGGTGCAAAGATGGAAAGCAGGAGGGGCAGCGCCCTGCATCTCCCCCAGGACACACTGCAGCCTGACTTCCATCCAGCCCCCTCCCTGCAGGCCCACTGCTGCCCAGGAGGACAACAGTGCAAGACCAGGCCAGCAACATGAGAGGTCCAGGGAGCCTCAGGCTCCAGGTGGAACAGGACACAAGATGGGCGCTCTTGTGGACAATGCAGTTGACAGGGAGTGGCGTGGCTGTGCAGAAGCACAGAGGGGGACAGTCAGGACTTAGGGTACTTCGGAAACAGCCAGGAAAAAGGATTCTCAGGGTTTCCCAGCCAGGCAATGTACGTGTTTGAGTGGATGGGTGGATGCTCGTTGCTTTGAGCTCCTCACCGGTGTTATACACATGTGTAGAAGTATCACCCTGCAAATCATACGTATGTGCAATTATTCTGTGTTGTGATTTTTAAAAAACAAATGTAGTCTCTTCTTGTTCTAGAGGTCAGTAATCAAGAACAAGTTCCTGAGATGTAGCAGTAGGACGCTTGCTCCTGCAGGATCTGGGTGCATGCGCTTCCCAGGCCTCCAGAGGCTCCAGGCTCCCTGAAGCCATAGCTCCAGCCTCTCTCCAGCCCCGGGGCTCCCACCTCACCAGCACTTCCTTCTCTCTCCGCTCCTCTTATCTCTGTTCCTCCTGTCTGAAATCCGACCAGGATCCCTCAGGTACTGAGCCCACCAGGATAACCTAGGAAACTGTAGTGTCTCAAGATCCTTCCTTGCTCACATCACCTCACCCTCTGTGCTGTATGAGATGCTGTGGTCCTAGGGTCAGGAGTGCAGGATGCCTCTCTCTGCCTTTACAGGCTGCCACTCAGTCTTACAAACCACACAGACTCCTACGAGACAGATGCCAGCCACATGAGGTGTGGGGGGTGTCCTGCAGCCAGGGACACTAAACTCACCCAGAGAAGCATGCAGGGAGATTAACTGGGCTCATTGTAGACTCTCAGGGATCCCACAGACCTGCGTTGCTCTTTGGCCAGCCCTAGCTTTCTGTCTGGATGCTCCATTTTCTGTAACTCTGTTCTCGCCCTTTCTGCAGACCTTCCAGATACAGCTGCCATGAGTGATTTCCTCTCAGACGTTCTGAAAAATTTATATCAAAAGGACTTTAAGAAAGTGGCTGATGAGTTCATGTCTCATTACCTTAAATTAACTGGTGTGACTAGAGGCATCATCTCCCCAGAGAAACTGAAGAACATTCAAGCGACCTTCAGTGAGGGCAACCTAAAGGCTGCAGTGGATATAATTGAAGAAATACTCAGTGGGGCTAAAAATGCTGCCCTGGAGGTGGCTGTGATCGGGGCGTCAGGGACAGGCAAGTCCAGTTTCATCAATGCCCTCAGGGGCCTTGGTCACGAGGAGGAAGGGGCAGCTGAGGTTGGGGTTGTGGAGACCACCATGGAGAAAACCCCCTACAAACATCCACAATACCCCAACGTTACCTTCTGGGACCTGCCTGGGACTGGGACACCCACCTTTGCCCCGGACACCTACCTCGAAGCAGTGGGCTTTGCCACATTCGACTTCTTCATCATCATTTCCTCCTCCCGCTTCACTTGCAGTGATGGTCTCCTGGCCCAGAAAATCCAGGAAGCTGGGAAGAACTTCTACTTTGTTAGAAGCAAGGTGGACTGTGACTTAGACAATGAGCGGAGAGCCAAGCCCAAGTCCTTCCAGAGGGAGAGAGTTCTCCAGGAGATCCGAGACTACTGCCTGGCTAACCTCAGGAACATGGGAGTGACTGACCCGCCCATCTTCTTGGTCTCCAACTTTGAGCTACATGGCTTTGACTTCCCAGGTCTGCAGAGGACGCTGCTGGGGGAGCTTCCTGCTCACAAGCGCCAGGTCTTTGCGCTCATGCTGCCTGCGCTGTCGGATGCTTCCATTGAGCTGAAGAGAAGTATCCTCAAGGAGAAGATCTGGCTGGAGGCTCTGAAGTTGGCAGCTGTGGCCTTCATCCCCTTTGGGTCTATCTTTAAAGGCTTTGATTTGCCTGAACAGGAACAGTGCTTGCAGCTTTACCAAAAATATTTTGGTTTGGATGATGAGTCCATTGAAGAGATTGCCAAGAAGCTCCACACATCTGTGCAAGACATCAAGGGCGAACTCAGGTGCTTGGATTCCTCAGCCCTACTGCAGGATGACAGCAAAGCAGCAATGGCCATGTACTGTGCTGAAAAGTTCTGCTTGGTGACTGGAGGTCCTATATCTTCTACCATGCACTTCGTAAAAGCGTACTCTATACGATTGAAAATTCTCGATGCAGTGGCCCAAGATGCCAAGGTCCTGTTGCATAAAACCCTCCGTGCTCCCTTCTGACAGAATGAGGTAGAAGCACTGTGCCCGGCCTCATGGACTGGAAAGTGGACCTCGGGGCTTCTACAGTCAGAGATGAGATTCGTCTCATCAGCCCTGTTCCAGTGTCCCTAAGGTAGAAGAAACCTCTGACCCACAAGACCAGGCAACAGCTTCCCATGGTAACTCACGCTGTGCATAGGTGATTTGACCACAGCCTGCTTTCTGCATGCTTTGGCCTGTTTTTATTAAAACCCAAGAGTATCTCAACCTCTGCTTCAGCTAATCTCCAAGTTTCTGTTTGTGTGTTTATTTGTTTGCTTTGCGGTGCAGGGACTGAACCCAGGGAGGGCCTTGTGCATGGTAGGCAGGGGCTCTGCCTCTGAGCTCCAGCCCCAGCCCCTGCTCTCCAAGTGTCCCCAGGTAGTCCCCATTTCCTCAGGCAGTAACACTTTGTGACACTCACAGCCGAGGTTATATACTGTGATTTTATGGCTGTGTTCTCAATCACCCTGTTAATGCTCTCTACAAAATGGGAACATTATAAAATGATTAGTAAAATGTGTGTCATTGGAAAATACAGCGAAAAATAAGACTTGATACCACACGTGTCTTTGATGGACATGCAATGAACACGTGGTATGTGCATTGGCTAAAATAGTATTTGGCAACAAAGAAAGATCAATCTGAGACTTGGGAGGGAAACGGGTTCCCCTGGAGAATGTAATGTGAAGTGAAGGGGACGCACAAGCTTAAATCCCGCAGTTTGTCTCGTTTGAGTCATGCAAAGTTCAAATAAACAGCAAAATAAAAGAAAGACAAATGCAGCAGAGAGAGCTTTTGCAAATGAGAAGGGGCCTGAGATACAGGGGCTGAGCTGGGGCGCAGGGAAGGGGATGTAAACAGATTCAGATGTGTGCTGTGCAGAGCTAACCTCCCACCATGCATGCAGCCATTGTACGCTGTAAATATGAAATAAAGGATCATAATGAGATTGACAATAGTACAAATAACAGTAAGGACAGTAACGAAAGCAGGGAGAGGGGATCTGGAGGTGCAGGGAGGAAGGGGGGTGGGCAGGATAATAACCAAGACATCTCCTGCCATGCACCTCCTCCCAAGAAGAATGTAACCTTCACACACTGCGCATGTACACTGATAAAATAAAATATGATTCCAAAACAGAAATGGACTTGGCTGTCTTTATTCCAGCCCGAGGTCTCCTTTCTGGGAATTCCTCTACCCTGGGTGGCCGGGAGTCTGGGGAATGTAGAAAGTGAAGCTCAGCAGAGGGGCGAGGGGTGACCCACCAGGGAGTCTGTAAGGCAAAGCTGAATCCCGCGGGCAGAAGAAGGGAAGCTGCTCTGACCTTGCTGCAATTCTTTATCTCACACCTGTGACGTGGGACACAGCAAAACTCCAAGGGGCCTCCCCAAAGCTCAGGGACTGTCACTCTTCCTGTCATGGTAACAGTCTGCATGGGGTCTTTGTCCTCTGACCACTGGGGGACGCTGCCCCGTGTGACAGCTATGAGTGCCAGACAGGGTGCATGAGCCCCACCTAGTCCTGCAAGCTGTCCCCAGAGTTGGGGGCCCTGACACACACAGCAGGGCACAGAGCAGGCCGAGGCCTCCTCCACCCTCCCTGCCCCACCAATGCGGGGACACAGACTGGGTGTGAGGGAACCCGCTCTCTGCGTGTGTGGACAGAGCTAAGCTGCCTGGTGCTGTGTCCTGTTCTCTGCAAGGGCACATTACTTTCAGGGAAAGTGCTCACAGCAGAGGCCAACAGCGCTCACAGTTTTAGCAGAGATCAGTTTCATCCTGGGTTCCCTTAGAAACGGCAGAAATGCCAGTGATCGGCACCTTTTGGTGGTGACAAACCAGAAGGATTTCCTTGCCTGCATCTCTGGACGCTGTGCCCTCCCAGTGACCTTGTTCTGTTTTGGCCAGAGTGCAGCTGGAGCTCACACAGTGGGGCTGTGGCTGTTTGCTCTGAATGACTTTTCCTGCCTCCCTTTCAGGCCGCCCAAATTCCTCCTAATATCACAAGTTAGGGCAGACGCCTTGCTTCATTCATAACAGTACAAACCTTGGGGGAATCAGCACAGATTTCCAGGAAGAAGTGCAATGGTGTTTAGCCTGAGGGGCTGGTAAAGGGGCACCCCCAGCCTTAACAAAGGAGAGTGAGAGCCAACAGGAAGGACTTCCCTCCAGGAAGCTCAGGGCAAAGTGCTCAGACTGGCTGATCCTGGAGCCTCAGAAGGGGTCAGTTCTAAGGAGAGCTGCACTGGGCTGCAGTCAGCTGGGTCAGAGTCTCAGGTCTGGTTTTGTAGCTTCAGAAAGTCCTATGGCCAGGAAGGATTCAGTTCCCATGGGTGAGGGCTCTGCCTTGGGGGCCTGGGGCTCTGTTCTCATCAGGGAGTACATGCTCTGGCCTGGGTAGGAGGCCTCAAAGTGGGAGCCTGCGTGGCTCTGGGCTGCTTGGAATACGAGGTAATGGCAGGTTTAGACAGTGCCTGCAGACTCCCAGGTCCCAGTTGCACTAATGCACAACCAAAGCTTGAGATTGAAACCTGAGGCCAGCAGCTCTCCAATCAGGGTCTTTGATACAAGCCTCACCAGGAACCTGAATGTGAGACTGGGATCCATGGCAGTCCCCGCCTGAAGGTTAAAAATCACTCTTTCAGTAAAAGACAAGACAGGAAGGCTCAGGCCAGTCCACTGGCAGAGTCACTGAGCTCTGGCCTGAATTTTGCTCAGCTGTGCCGACGTCTGGAAGGTGGAGGCCAGAAAGTCAGTTCTAGTTTAATGAGTGAGAGTTCTCCCCAGACAGAAGCTGACAATGAAATTTCAAAGCATGTCTATATTAGATATCTTCCAAGTGAGAATTTATCCTCATAAAATTCTGATAAATGCTAAAAATTTAATAGATTTTCATTCACAATTGCAGAGTAATTAGGCAAATGCCTCAGTAAAATCAGAAAGGTCCACAAGTTTTGTTTAAAAGCAGTTGAGGGACCAGGGATTTAGTTCAGTGGCTCAAGCACTTCCATGGTAATCAAGAGATCCTGTCTTCCATCCCTGGTACCAAAAAATAAAATAAAAATAAAAAGCAACTCAGCTGTGACAATACACGCAGTCTTTTCAGTCACACAGCAGAGGCAGCTGCTAAAATCTGGACCCCATTGTGTGGAGCGAGGTCCTGAATGACACCATAGCCAAGGGGACGTCGCATGGATGCCTCACCCACTGAACAGAAGCCTTCTGCCCATCACCTGCCCCTGACCACTTCCTGGAGGAAGGCTCAGTGTTTCTGGGTGTGAACATTTGCTCCAGGGTCACTCGCACCTTCATCCCAGATGCAGGATCTGACCTGGTAGACTAATCCCAGCTGCCCTTCTCCACCTTCTCTGGGATTATCACTGAAAGCAAAGCTCCTAATTATGCTTTGCACAAACTGCTACAAATCTTCTTTCAGTCTGTGATTTAAACTAAAAAAAGAAGCACAGAATTAAGCAAATATTGTTTCTGGAGAAAGAAACTCACATTTTTTGGGTGCAACATCCGGTCCTGCTGAAAACATGGGAGCCAAGCTTTGCCATTACTGTTGGACAAGGTTTCCGTATTCTATCTAGGCAGGAAAACAACTCTAGATACTTCAGTAAAATTTCAGAATCACCACAGGAGACAGGTCAGATGGTCTCCATATCTGAAGTTGGTCTGAGACCAGGAAATTCAGTACTAACCCTTAGCTAGCTTTCTTCAGAGAACGCCAACCTGTTAATGGTAATTTAGATCTTGATTATATATTAAGATCTTGATTATATATATATTAAATATATTATATATATTTGGCTTCCTGGGTTGTAACAGTGGCAGCTGTTGAGAAGCACATTTTGTATTAAATTGCAAGCCACAAACAAGAAATGCAAGGAAGAAAAATTTTAAACACCAGCTAACAGTTCTTTTGTGTTGGGAGCCGCAGCCCCGAGCCCGGTCGCCTCACTTGGCGGACGTGAGGCCTGTAGTAAAGAGTAAAGCCTGAGGTAGATTACCCCTCCCATCGAGCACGTTAGTTTCCTGCTTACCGGGTAAGCAACCCGCTCAACAATATAGTCTGCCTGGCAACTGATGATGTTAGCCAATCAGCTTGCCTTGCTTACTTTAACATGATTGGACACTGTATCCGTATATATACTGGTGCCACCCCTGGGGGGGAAGAAGAAGCCCGGAAGTAGAAGCCTAGAAGGAGCCGCGGGGAGCGGACCAAAGGAGGCTTCGGCTGGGAGCGATCCCAGGGCAGGCTGTACGGAGAAGGAAAATAAAAGAAAAGGTTGTCCACTGCCAGACTTTGTCGTGTGTCCTTCCTGCCGGCCGGGAGCGACATCGACATTTGGAGGCCCGCACGGGGACTGATCACCCCCGAGACGTGACAGCGGACAACGCTCCAGTACAGAGCTGCGAGACAGGTGAGTTGGGGATAAGCCTGGGCTCTGGGTGGCGCGCACCTACAGGGCTTTTAGACTCCCCTCAGGCTCACACGTAAGTCGCGGATTCCTTGAGCCTCACGCGGTGAGTAACATATTAAAAGATGGGAAACATGCTAGGTAGCAACACTAAGAGCGAGGGTGGTTGTGGAGAAAGCTCTCAAGAGCTTACAAAAGTACGCAGGGTATTTGAGCAGGCCCAGTCGGGGAGCTCCCGAGAGGGGCCCGTCAAGGGGAACAAAGATGCTAAGGAGAAGGACGGGGCTCTAGCCTCGGAGTCGTCTGACTCCGAGGACGAGGGAAAGTTGAATGGCAAGGAGGCCAAAGAGACCAGCTGTCAGGAGCCTAAGTCGCTCGATAAGGAGTCGCAGGGTTCTTTCCCAGCGTTGCGCCGTGAATTGCGCTCCGCTCAACTTGGTCTGCGGAGGAGTAGAGAGCTCCTGAGTGCTCCCCGGCGCGAGAGGGAGGCGAAGCCTTCCGCCCCACCTTGGGGGCTGTTCCCGGAGGCGATCCCTCGCCGCGAGGCGGCCGCCCGGGAGCTCCCTTCCCCTTCGCCAGAACAGGAAGTGATGCACGGGCCCCCATTTTCCGCCCAATCATGGCCGCCGTCTTATGTTCCGCCACCGGCGGGTCGGTATTTTTACAGGCGGCTTTGGCAGGGGGACGTTTGTCTCATGAGGTACATCCACCACCTGGGATAGATAGTGGCCCCTACGGGATATTTCCTGTACAAGTAGCTATGGGCCAGGGACGTAATGCATGGGAGCCTTTTGAGATAAAGCAGATTAGAGAACTTAAAAATGCAGTTACAACCTTTGGGCCAACTGCGCCTTACACCATTGCCATGCTGGAGAACCTGTCTTCTGGGCCCCTCACCCCCGCGGACTGGATTCAGCTGGCAAAGGCGTGTCTGCCCTCGGGTAGTTACCTGGATTGGCGAGCCTGGTACGCAGAGTTCTCTGCAGAGCAGGCTGAGAGAAACGCCAGTCGGGGAAACCGGGGGTGGAACAAGGAAATGCTTATGGGAGAAGGTCGGCACGCTGATGATCAGACTCAGTTCCCCGGCGCTGTCTATGAACAAATCAACGCCATAGGGCTCCGCGCCTGGAAGCAGGTAAGTGGTGCCGGAACAGCCTCCTTGTGTCTTTCAAAAATAATTCAGGGTACCACAGAGCCATTTGTTGACTTTGTGGCCCGAATGCAAGATGCTGCCGATAAGATATTTTCTGATCCGGGAGTGGCTCGACCACTGGTAAGGCAGCTGATTTTTGAGCAATGTACAAAGGAGTGCAAGGCAGCGATAGCTCCTCATAAGAACAAGGACCTCAACGCCTGGATTAGGATATGTAGAGAGATAGGGGGGCCGCTGTCCAACTCGGGAGTGGCTGCTCTCCTGGCCGCGGCTGTACAGCAGAGGGGACCTCGCGGGTTAGAAGGGGAATGTAAGGCTAAAGGGTGTTTTGCCTGCGGGGAGCCAGGACACATTAAACGTCATTGCCCAAACAATGCAGATGCTAGGCCTCGTCCTAGGAATGAAGAACCATATGTTTGTGGGCGATGCAAGAGGGGACCACACAAAGCTGAGGAGTGTAGGTCGGTCTTTGATGCTCAGGGCAACCGTATTTGTGGACGAGATGCTAGAGGGCCAAAAAACGGCCAGAGGGGGCCCCCTTCACAGGCGGGCCCCCGCCCCAGAGAC